GCGCTTCGTGTCTACTTCCCACCTTTAACCACCTCGAGTTCCTGGTATAGACTAGTTCACTGTATTCATGGCACTGCGGCCCAACGATCGCTAAACCTTTTTAAAACCAAGGCGGTTACACCCAGCTAGTATAACGTAGCAATAGTGCTCAATGTGCATGCCAATGACTGCTAATGGGAATCGCAGCGTCCGCTTTAACTAAAAACCGAATGCCTGTCTCTCATTCCCCATTAGCAGCCATTGACATTTACATTGAGCACTATTTTTTATTGTTCAACAACGCACAAAAGAAATATCTCACCGGCATCAACCTTGGAGGTGAAAATGTTATACTTGTTACATACTACAACGGCTACGAGGGACGAACGGGTGCCGCTATAGGAAGCTTTGCCCCTAAAATGACGCAGAAAAACCTGTCTGAAGTCACTGCTGACGATGCGTATTTCAACTGCTGTGATTTGCAGGAAGTCGATTTGATTGATTGATATGTGGGGTTTAACGTCCCAAAACCACTATATGATTATGAGAGACGCCGTAGTGGAGGGCTCCGGAAATTTAGACCACCTGGGGTTCTTTAACGTGCACCCAAATCTGAGCACACGGGCCTACAACATTTCCGCCTCCATCGGAAATGCAGCCGCCGCAGCCGGGATTCGAACCCGCGCCCTGCGGGTCAGCAGCCGAGTACCTTAGCCACTAGACCACCGCGGCGGGGCGCAGGAAGTCGATAAAGCCAAGCAAGAGGTATCGCACGTCATCCGAGTCTTAGAATCTCCCTAACAAGATTGTACTCGTGCAGGAGAAAACCCTAAGTGCTTTCCCCCAACACTGGTGTCATCGATGGTTTGGTAAACTTTAGATAACGGGAATCGATGGGTGCCCGTGCAACGCACTACCCGATGTTCCATAGTACGTGGATTATGGTACACGCAAAATTTTTTTTTTCTGTTTTGCGTGCGCGACTTACGCAAACATCCACGCTGAAGTGGAACTTTTTGCTCCTGTCTGTTGTCACACTAGTACTCGGAGTGCCCACTAGATGGCTCTGGGGTATAGCGCTCGCTATACCCCAGAGCCATCATATGAGAAGCGATTGAGAGAAATGGGGGAAGAGCGTTGGGCTAGGAAGGTTTTCAGCTACTTGTACATGAAGAATGTAGATACAAAATGGAGGAAGCGAACCAGGAAGTTGACTGGTAAATACTTAGAAAACAGCAGGTGGCCAAACCAAAAAGAACTATTGGTTAAGAAACAAGTGAAGGAAACGGAGACTCACATGTGGAGAGTGGGCATGATTAAGAAGTCCGCACTAGAGATCTATCGATCTTTTAAGCAGGAAATTGCCAAGAAAAGGATCTATGATAATACTCGGGGTAGTTCTCTACTGTTTGAGGCCAGGACGGGAGTACTGCGAACCAAGACATATCGGGCCAAATACGAAGGGGTAGACACAGTATGCAGTGCGTGTGGAGAGGAAGAAGAAACTGCCGAACACTTGATAATGTTCTGTAAAGGGCTTCACCCTATAGTTCAGGATGATGGCGCAGAGTTTTTCAAAGCACTGGGGTTTAGGGACCGGGAGGGCAAAATAAACACTAAGCGGGTAGACTTAACTAGAAGGAGGTTATCTGATTGGTGGCTAAAGTCAAGGCACGAGTGAAAATTAAACTCTTCACTGCAAAGTACGAATCCTCAAACTGACTTTTTTAAGGAAAAAAAAATAAATATAGTTTTTGGTTCATTAGGTATTACGGCTTGGTGGCGCTAGCCACCGCCCGATCTAAAGGGTACAGCCATATCCATCCATCCATCCATCCACTTCACTCCGGTGCGTGCTCTGGTATGAGTGGATACCGCGAGCGGCACTGCACAGCTCCGTATAATAAAAGGGCTTGCTTTGCGCGCTCTCTCTCACACCAACAGCGGAGTAGTGTGAATGAAGAGATGAACATGATTGCGGCGGAAAGGAGGCCTCGCAAAGCTGCTGTGTGCGCAACCATGAACGTCTACGGTGAGGAAAAACATCACTTATGGACAAAAGAGGTCTACCTGCTCAAATATTGTTCAGTGGAGACGTGCAGCAGTCAACCATTTCCACGAAGAACGAAGCTCAGAATTCTCCTTTGAAGCACGTTTGGAGTGGGAAACCTAGAGACCTCATGGCGTGCGTGGTGAACGAAGAGCGCGCGAACTTTGCTTGCGCGCGTTGCCCGTGACGTCAGGGTCACCTGACTAGTTGGTTCCGCGCATACCAACCAATCAGCGCTGCGGATGCGACGGCACCGCGAAAGAGGAGGTGGAAAAAAGTGGAGGTCGACGGTGCGGCGAGAGTGAAGCGGCGTAGATCAAGGAGTGTTGATATTCGCAAAATCTAGAGGTTTTAACTGAGGCGCTTGTAACGACGTCACGGAGCACGGGTTCTACCCATCGCGAAGCTCGTCACCGCCTTCTAAAATCACTTGATAACTGGCACAGCAGCTGCAAAGCTGCCTCCGAGCAAAGCGCATCGCGGAGGAGCCTGCCGCGCCCACGTGATCATACACGGTGGAGGCCAGTTTCAGGCTGGGCGGAGCACAAGCGCCATGACGTCGCTACCAGTGCCTTAGTATGTTGACGGTGCCTATACTGCTGCCTACAAGCATAGAATAGGTCTATACTATGGATGTCTAGGTCATACTAGGAGCTACTGGCACATACCCGTTTTCTGAGGCAAGCATACTATCCCAGTTTCGTGCGGACGATTCAGAAGTTTTGCCAAGCTTAAGCAGCTGTACTCTTGATTAACAAAGTTGGTGAACTTACAACAAGAGCTCGCTTTCGGCAACTTGGTGCATGGTAAATACCGTACAGGTACGACGCAATAAGTATATGAAAGAAAACAGTGACAAAGAACGCACCACGAAATTCAACACGTGATGAAGTCATGTCACGTCGCGACTGTGGACGTCACATATTTTGGGAACTGTGCGTCATGATGACGCGTATGGGGGCGTTATAAGTCGACTATGGCAGGTTTGTGACTCGATAGTGACTCATTATAATTCTATTTGTAACTCGTTATAACATGTTCTTTAGAATGTCTTGTCTAAGCCGACGCCGCTGAACGATGGTCGACTGCCACCGGTAAATTTGCGCGTTATATGAGGAATCTGAGGCTTTCGCCTGAACATCGTACCGTTGCGATAGTAGATCCTGGAGACGTCCGGCGCATGAGGTCCCGAAGATTGGTGAGGCGACACGCTCGGTGGGAAGAGCGGGCAGCGGCGTCGGTGGTGGCGCGGGCGGAAGCGAAGTTGCCATGGGGTCCTCTCGTGGACCGACGTAAGGGAAGCGCTTCAGGAAAACACCAGTCGGAGAAAGTGGAACCTCGGGAGCACCACTAGAGACGGGAGTAACCATGCCTTCTTGTCCGTGCCAAGCCTGTTGGGAAAGTGAGCCATCCCGATCGCAACTGCTCTTCGCGAAAGTGACACTATAGCTCACTATTGCACAAATGATCAACTCATTTTCTTCGCTTCTAACGGAAAAGTGTAATTTGCCCACGCAGTCTTCATAAGAGATGAGAGAGAGAGAATGAATATAGAAAAGGTAGGGAAGTTAACTACAGTCTTCATAAAATATATGCAGGCCCAACGGAGCAACTCAATCGTGCAACTCAAAGAACTAAATGTTCACAATCGGGGGTAACTGCAAGTGAGTCATAGCTTGTCCTCACGGTCATACTGCCCAAGAAAGTCATTGATGTTGCAACATATTGACACACCTCGATGGGCGCATGAAGAGGAAGAGGTAGAAGCGGTCTGGGTCACGAGCAGCTCGGTCGCCGGTTTCTGGCTCTGAGCTGTACCGATCTCAACCATTTTCCTGTAAATAAACGCGTTCCTTCGTCACAATATATTGTCCCGCACCAATGTAACCCTTTTACCCTTACTTATGGTCTTTATTGACTATAGTGACTATGTAATGACTATGTTATGACCAGACTCTCAGCCGGGGAGTTAAGAGAGGGATAAGAAGTATAGAAAAGGCAGGGTAGTTAACTAGACTATCTCGAGTTCAGTACTTTACACGTGGGGATAGGGGAATAAGGGAGTAAGAGAGGGAGAATGAGAGACGCCTTGCACACTACACGCACTATGCACGGTTTTCCCATGTGGTCGCTCAGTGATGTTGCCTTCAAGTACTGCAGCAGGGCTTGTGTGGTTCTTTTCGCTGGTGTTCTGTGAGACCATGCCATATTATCTTGAGTAAAGGGCCGATCATCGAGACTCTTTAAGGCACACTGCATAGTCCGGCGATCCTGTTCACATTGCGGACAGCAGCCCACGAGATATATGGCCAAGAAATTCTAGACATTTGCAGCTATCGCACTTTGAGCCTGTAATGCCCAAATGCTATAAATCACTAAGCCGGAAATGTCACTAGAACAAAAGCATTAGACACAATCGATGACTCCATCGATACACCCTATCAACGACTGTATAAAAATTAATGATGTGTTCAAAAACACTAAACCCCACTGTCTTTACCAAGATTTCGCTACGCATCTTTAAATACACAAGGACTCAAAAGCTCTTTTGTGCCTCTTGAAGTTCCTTAGTTTTCACGAACGTTTCTGAGCTACTATAGCGCGTGCTCACGGCCTATCTGACATTTCGCTTGCTTTTTTCTTGGAAAAAAAAATCAACGAACCCAGCCTGAAAGAACATGCACGAGAAGAAAGCTTCATGGCGACCATACACGCTGGGATGAATCCAGCTTTGAGAAATCCGTAGACAAAAAGATTTCTCTTGTGTGCGTATTCTTATATTTTTCGTGCTATGTACCAACAGGCCCAACAACAGACTTCTTTCTTGTCTTATCACACACACACCCCACCCCCTATAAGTGTAACCAGCCAAGCATGAAGGGGGACAGGAGGAGCAGCCAGGGTGACCAACCAAGCATACATGCTTTTGGTTAACTTCTCTGTCTCTCGCCTTCGATTTTCTCTCTCTTACCTGGTTCGCATAGAAGCCGGCGGCGGTAGATTCAAATCCATTATCAAACGCCGAAAGCGAAGGGCGCCGGCTCATCGGAGGTGCTCTGGCGGCGCCATTGTCGATGAACTGCTGCTGCTGAGACTGCTGGTGCCAGTCCAATCCAACGGCCGAGTGCAGTCTCTGGGGCGGCGGGAACTGACCGTGATAGTAGGCGTCGGCGGCGCCCATTCGTACAGACAGGTCCATCTACAGAAATAGGAAGTATATAGGGTGGTATGCAGTAGTCTGTCACGTGACACTGCGCTCTCCGTCTTAGCCGAAAGGTGGCAACCGCAGCGATATAATCAATCGCTAAAACCAGACAAAAAAACCTAAGTTCCTTGACAGGAAGCTAAGGACGATCGTCGTTAGCTTCCCGTCAAGGAACGGTTAAGCTGTTGAAGGAGGTGTTAAGCCAGAGGTTGATTTCGGTATTAAAGACAGCATCATACCCGTGCAACAAGGGCAGAGAAAATTACATCTACCTCTTAATGCCTTCAGATTGAATGTCATTCACGCGGCACCACTCGGATGAACGAAATAGCATTCACCCAAATGCATTTCGTCAGCTGATGTCATCGGAAAAACTCATTCGACTGAGAAGTGCGTACTCTCGACGGCACAGCTGATGAAGCAATTGTATAAAACGACATTCGATTCGACTGGAAGGAAACTTTGCTCGTTTCTTATCTACACTAATCACTTAACAAGTGGTTAAAACTTTTCTTCAGCTGGTAGACGCTGTAAAATATATGTGACAGGTGCTATTTTCTTTTTACGCTGCGGCTCTGACTAGCTTTGGCTTAAGTTGCTACACGGCTGGTTGCAACGTCATGAAACAAAGTAACGAATGAAATCTAACGGCATTGTAATATGCTTATTTCTACAGTTAAGTCTTCTCGGGGGTATGTCGAGCTTGTAAACGCACGTTTACTTTTATATTATACTACTCCACAATTGCTTGCTACAGAAGATGGTGTGATCGACATCATCCGAATTAAATGTCACTCATTTCGAGAGTGTAGCGATTCCGTCCCAAAAAAATGTCATTTGGGAACTGAATGCCTTCGCTACCGAATGTAATTTCCTGTGCTCGTGTTGCATGAGTATCACTCGTGAAACAGCCCTCATACCATCAGTATAGGTCGAGTTTCTTTTGAGATACTGTTTGGTTTTAAACAAAGGGGGGCTTCTGCGACTACGAGTGACGCTAGCCGACACATTTAAAGCTGCGTATTTCATGGGGATGCACCGAGAAAGCCAACGGCAGTACAGTCGCCGCCTTAACAAGTTGTATAATAGACTACGGAAATCATCATGTCTTGGTTGGTTCAATTGTCACCCGTGGACAGGTTTCGTCCACATTTCAGTTTCAGCTTTCAGTTTGATTTCACGGTTGCAGCTCTTATAGTTAAACAAATGACGTCTACGCTTTCCTCAGCGTCCGAACTTGTTAGGCTTGTTTTTCTCACGAGACGAGAGGAGTTCACCACAGAAAAGAGCGTCACCTGCAAACAGTCTTACACTATAGTGTAGATTCGCTTTCCGTAATAGCAGATATCCAGACGCAAAAGTACATTGCCATCTTCTGCCACCGTTATCTGAAGCTACTTTCTAGCAGTGGTACTGTTCTTGGTCGAAGCTTTCATGTACGGACACCATGCGTAGATTTTGTAGTGGGATTCACTCACAGAAATTGGGCAAATGTGACTACGGATAGGACATGTGCCACTCCTCTCACCACCATGTTCACTAGTCAGCCGACCTCTCCCACTGCTCATTACTCCAACGACTCACCACTACGGCCACTTCTGTCATATAGGGTTTCCCGTAAATACAATAGAGGGAACTCTGGCGCTAGTGTCTAGTGTCTAACCTGACCTAACCTAACGCCATGACAGCAGCTGAGTCAACATGAGAATGATGGGTAATGCACAAATTTCGCAAATCTTCGTTCTTTCGGGTCCGTTCTGACTTCGCGTGGCTTGGAGCCGTTTTGTCACGAGACAACAGTCAGCGAATGTTCAGTAGTTGCACTTCATCACCTTAACACTTCAGGTTCACAAATTCAAATCGGGTCACGAAGTTCACTACGGTCCGTCTTTTTATTCCAAACAAAAACCAAAACACGGCAAATAAACGCTACAAGTACGTTCGAAGACCACAAGAACGAAGAGAAGGTAAGTTGGTGTGTTACCCGTCCTTCCCATGATCGCTGAGCGATTGCAGAGCCAGCGTCCTCTCTAGTTGACTTTAGGAAAATATAAAACTTCAGTAACCCAACCCATTCCACGTCATTCCTACCTTATTCAACCACACCGCCAGCTTCGATTTTTTTATCAGTGTTTGCTAAGTGGAGCGGGATGAATCGTACATACTATATATTATAAACTTGGATAGCAGTGCAACTTGAAGGAAACAAAACAATTATTTATTTTCTCCAGTCGGTTTCTGCTGTTCTTCGCAGCCTTACGTTCACTGGCTGGACCGCCAGCCGAAACTTTTAGGATAAAATAAACAATTGTTTTGATTCTTATATGGTGCACAACTCGCGAAGTGTTCTATCCGCTTAAAGTCTATTTTGCCCTCCCTGTCCCTAAACCACAGTGCTTTGAAAAATTGCGCCATCATCCTGAACTATAAGGTGAAGCCCTTTACAGAACATTATGAAGTGTTCGGCACTTTCCTCTTCCTCTTCACACGCACTGCATACCGTGTCTACCCCTTCATATTTGGCCCGATATGTCTTGGTTCACAATACTCCCGTACTGGCTTCAAACAGTAGAGAACTACCCCGAGTATTATCATAGATCCTTCCCTTGGCAATTTCCTGCTTAAAAGTTCGATAGATCTCTAGTGCTGACTTCTTCCTTCACCTTCTTAACCGATAATTCTTTTTGATTTGGCACCCTGCTGTTTTTAAAGCATTTACCAGTCAATTTCTGGTTCGCTTCTTTCATTTTGTATCGACATTCTTCACGTACAAGTAGCTGAATACCTTCCCAGACCAACGCTCCTCTCCCATTTCTCTCAATCGCTTCTCAAATTTTATCTTGCTGCTAGCTTCCCTGCCCTCGAATGATGCCCATCCCATATCGCCTTGTACACCCTGATTTGGTGAATTCCCGTGAGCTCCTAAGGCAAGCCTCCCTATTCCACGTTGCTTTATTTCTAATCTTGATTATCTTGATTGAACTTCTGATCTCATGCACAAGACCGCATTGCCGAACATCACTCCAGAAACCATGACCCCTTTCCCTATTCCTCTCACAACATCATACCTATTGCAATTCCACAGTACCCTGTTTTTCATTACCGCTGCATTCCTGTTACCTTTAGTCGTCACGTATATTTCGTGTTCCCTTAGGCACTCGGCCCCATTGCTTATCCATACGCCCCGATATTTGTATTTATCTGTTATCTCTAGCGTGGCCTCCTGTATTCTAAGCTCACTACCTTCATTGTCATTAAAAATCATGACTGCAGATTTTTCCTCACTGATTCTGAAATTTAACCTATCTCCCTCTTTACCGCAGATGTCCACCAACCTCTGCAAATCCTTCTTGTTGTCAGCCATCAGCACTATATCATCTGCGTACATCAATGCTGGTAGTGCCTTTTCAATGAGTTTTCCTTGTTTGACGAAAGAAAGGTTGAAGCCCAGTCCACTTCCCTCTAAGTTGGCCTCTAGTCCTTGTAGGTACATTATGAATAATAAGGGTGACAGGGGACACCCCTGCTTAAGGCCCCGTTTTACCTCAGCAGGCTTGGATACCTGTTTTTCCCATTTTATAACTACCTTGTTACTTTTATAGATATCCTTTAAATATAAGTGACTACATCTTCCACGCCTACTGTGTCCAGTATTCCCCACAATTCCTCTTGAACCACGCTATCGTACGCTCCCTTGATATCCAAAAATGCTAGCCACAAGGGCCTGTGTTTCTTTTCTGCTATTTTGATGCACTGCGTCAGTGATAACAGATTGTCTTCCAACCTCCTGTGTTTCCGAAACCCATTCTGCAGTTCCCCCAGCACCCCCTCATTCTCTATCCATGCCTGCAGTTTTTCCTTTATAATCTGCATCGCCAGCCTGTAGACCACTGATGTCACTGTTATAGGACGGTAGTTGTTTATGTCAGTTTTGTCCCCTTTTCCTTCATAGATCATGCTCATCCTGCTAAGTTTCCATTCGTCGGGAACTTCACCATCGATTATTATTTTGCTCACTGCCTCTCTCAAAGCCTGCTGAGACTTCGGGCCTAATGTCTTTATCAGCATAATTGGAATGCCATCTGGGCCTGTTGATGTACTACTAGGAACCCTTTTCTAAGCCCTTTCCCACTCTCGTTCTGAAAATGGAGCCATTGCGCCACTTGATCCATCCTTGTCTATTGTGGTGCATAAAGCACTTCTTTGTTGAAATTTTTCTGTCACCCTTGTTCTTATATATTAAATAGCTTCGTCCTCTTTAGCCTAGCACCTTGAGCTGTAGTTATAAACCTCTGCGCTAGGCTCGTTTCATTTCTTGGGAAATTTAGATGGTTCCAAAATTTCGAAGCTGCCTTTCTACCTTTTTTATGTACTTCTGCCAGCCACTGAGCTCCCTTTATTCTAATCTTTTTATTGATCAGAAGGGATGCATCTTTTCTACAGCTTAGAAAGATTTCCCATTTTCTTTCAACATCATCTGTCGGTTCACCCCGCTGCATAGCATGTCTGTTTCCTAGAGGCTTCCTGACGTTTTGCTATGGCTCTCTTAACTTCCTCATCCCACCAACTTTTGGGTTTGCGTCTTTTCCGGGGTGACTTGTCACGTGCCTTAGCAAGCTCTAGCTCAAAGAGTCTAATTAGATTCGCGTATGTCCACACTGTCTTATTATCCTCCGTGATTACTTTCTCAATTTGTTTAGTGGCTATTTCAATTTGCCTTTCTGAATAAAAACTTTCCTGTAGTTGCCTCATCTTGTCTCCTTCCCACTTTCACTGCTCTTCCAAAACATTAGCTTGATACGTTTGTGATCACTACCCAGACTTCTGGAGCCGCCTTCATCTACGTGTATTCCCCTGAGCTTATCATACATCCTCTGTGACATCATTGCGTAATCTATCGTCGACTGCAGCCTTCCTACCTCCCATGTTATTTGACCTTCACACTTCTCGGTACTGTTGCGAATGATCAAATCATGCCTTTCGCACATATCCATGATAATTTTGCATGTCGGGTCGAGAGGCAAAATGTGGCTTGAAGCAACGCCGCCACCGCATCACGGCGCAGCAGATCTAGAAGCGTTGCAGTGACGCTTCACAATTGGTTGCCCGCGTAGCGCCACGAACGGCGACGCGATATCTGAAAACACCGTATATTAAAGAGGATAGACATTCTTGGGGACCTTCGACGGAAAATTTTTGATCTGTCTGTCTGTATATTTGTCTGTTTATTTGTCCTAACGATACCTCAAACGGCACCAATTGGTCAACCCCATCCGCAGCGCCCACCAATATTGCTCAAGATTCAGCGTTAATACTTGTGCGATTGTCAATTGAAAACAATCGTTAACTGAGGACCGTAGCGCTTATCACACTGCGCTGACAATGCAACGCGATGCTCCAACGCTTTGCTAAGACGACACGGTGGTGGCACCTGCCCGTCGCTTCGCGTTATACACCTCATCACCTCCGAGACAGGCGCGCATCTTTCTCCGCGGGCGCGCACGCCTTCGTTTTCAGAGATAACTGCCAGATGGCGCTCGTGTCTAACGTACCTCGGTAGGCTCGTTCGCCTCCGCTACACGCACGAGGCACTAACGCAGCGCCTACACAATACCAATAACCAATTTTCTTGCGCAGAACATCAAATAAACGTTTTGTTCACTCTCTCCAGACGCAAAACTATCGTCTTCCGACGACATTTGCTGTTTAACATGCAGATTCGGACCATTTTTTTTTTTTTACAAAGCCAGCGTGACCACCAACATCGTGAACATGAGGAATGCAACACGCTGCCCCACCGATGTGTACACAACTGAACGAAAAATTACTTCGTATGATTTCCACCGTGAGGCGCTACATGAGAAGGCTCCCTCGCCCATGACCGCAAATCACACGCGAAGGCTAGGCGATGGGGGAGAGCAAGTGCTAGAGGAGAGGGTGGTGAACAGCCGGACTGAGTGCATATGTCTGGCATTGATAAAACACAGGAGGCGTTGGCGTGGCCCAAGCGCTGCTTGTACCACGGACAAAAGCCGAAAGGCAACGAAACAGACGTAGAATATTTCAAAATATCAGTTCTACTCCGACCGCAATGGAAGTGTGGACGTGAAGCTACATCGTGCGTCAAAAACTCGCTTTGGAGCAATGCCAAATTACTACAGTGAGCCCATATATATATATATATATATATATATATATATATATATATATATATATATATATATATATATATATATATATATATATATATAAGGGAAAGAAGTGTATACCTAAGGGCTCGTTTTTCCGTGTTTTAACACAATATTAATGAGATATAACAGACATTACTGTCTGTTATATCTCATATATATATATATATATATATATATATATATATATATATATATATATGGGATATGGCACAACGGGAGCGCGTTGTACCGGATGATGGACAAAAAGTCCATCATCCGGTAGATTCAATGAATTTGAACTGTACCAAGACCTCGATAACTTTCCGCGTAATCTCCACCTCAGTGAATACTTTTATGATCGCGGGGACTGTGCGGACGAGAATAGAGTGATTGGTGGTGACAAATCATGGTGTACGAGTGAGCAGAGGGACAAACACGTCGATATGTATATATCAGCAGCTCAAAAAGATACCATCAGAGCGTATGAAAAAAATCGGCCATTTCGAAACAACATATCAAAGTCAGAACGAAGGGCACTCGATGAACTACGAAAAAACACTGGAATTACTATCAAACTGGCTGATAAAGGGGGCTGCATAGCAATTCTAAACACGTCGGACTACTTAAAAGAAGGGGAACGACAGCTATCAGACACAAAATTCTACAAAGAACTTCCAACGGACCCGACTGCCGAATTTGAAAGGGAGATAAAAGTAACTCTAAACAATCTCCGCCGGGACGAGAAAATTACCGGCAAAATGTTAAAAGCAATGTTACCGGCCCATTCTGTTCCCGGTCGATTCTATTTGCTCCCCAAAATACACAAGGCAGGTAATCCGGGACGTCCGATAGTATCCAGTAACAGCACATCAACAGAAAATATATCAGAATTCATCAATTCCTTAATAAAAAACATCCCCCCAAATTTTCCCTGTTACCTAAAGGACACAAACCACTTCATCTGCGAAACTTCAAGTCTCGACATCCCAGGCGGCAGTTTTCTGGTGACCATGGACGTCTGCTCACTGTACACCAACATACCCCACCATGACGGAATAGCGGCTATGGTTTCTGAATATGTAAAATCTGACTCATCAACTAGTGTAAGTGGCGAGGTACTGTTTACACTTCTTGAACTTGTACTAAATTATAACCATTTTGAGTTCAACGGCAAGCATTTCCTTCAGGTCAGTGGCACTGCAATGGGCACGAAAATGGCCCCAAACTTCGCGAGCACCTTTATGGCTTCACTTGAAATCCCATTCATTGAGGGACGCACCTTGAAACCTTTCTACTACAGAAGATACTTAGACGATATTTTTATGATATGGAACCATGATGAGGAAAGTCTTTTCCGCTTCATAGAGGATTTTAACAAATGCCACCCGTCAATAAAATTCACGCACAAAATTTCCAAAACTAGCATTAACTTTTTGGACGTCACTGTCACGGTCGAAAATGACCGCTTGTCAACAACCCTTTACAAAAACCTACAGACCGTCAAATGTACCTACATTTCAACAGCAGCCACCCAAAGCATTGCAAAACGGGTATTCCATATTCTCAGGCCTACCGGTACCGAAGAATATGCACCGATATGCGGGAATTTGACAGACACGCGGAACACCTAAAGCATTCCTTATTGAAACAAAATTATCCGGAAGACATTATTGACGATGCCATACTACGTGCTCGCTACGTGAACAGGAATGATATAATTAAGGGACCAAACAGAGTATCTAAAACGACTTCCCAAACGAACCTTGTACTAACTTACTCCTCATCAGTGCCACGAATCAACAACATACTTTCCCGCAATTTCAACATAATCAGGCAAAGCAAACGACTAACTTCTATTTTCGCGAAACCACCTCACGTGGTGTACCGCCGGGATAAAAATCTGAAGGACATTCTTGTCAGAGCAAAAACAAACACCCCCAAATTTGAATCAGGGTGCCATCCCTGCGGAAAAGCTCGATGCAAGGTATGCCCACAGATGGTCACAACACGTGAATCCAAAGCGAACTTCTCGGATTTCAAATTCTGCATAACTGAAAGCCTTAATTGTGACTCCAGTAACGTAATATACATGCTACATTGCAACATCTGTGGACAAGAATATATCGGCCAAACAGACACGCCATTTCGGCTGCGGTTCAATAATCACCGGTACCACGACACTTCACTGCCGAAGCTACCTTTATCTAGACATCTGCGCCTGCCAAACCACAGTTTTGAAAATATCAGCGTAACTCTTTTGCAGTCCGGTTTCTCAAACAGACGCGAGCGCGAACAGCGTGAGGCATATTTTATTTTCACATTTCGTACAGTAGTAGCCGGCATCAACGAGGACCCCGGAAAACTCAGCTGCCTCCGAGAAGTAAGCCAGGAGAAAATTGGTGACAAAGATTGATAGCTGGAGACCATGCTTTTTTCTGACTGACTCGTACGTGTACACTGTCCTTTCTTTTTTTTCCACATGCACATACAAAGTGCTTACCTTCGCCTACCACTTGATGACCATTGAAGGGAAACGGACGAAGATTAAAGGTAAATAGCCGACCGACCCATTAACGGGAATCCCTTCCTTTACGCACGCCGCCCGCCGACCGACCCATTACGGGGAAACCCCTTTCTTTATGCACGCCCTCACGGACCCTCCCGGCACCGCGGCGACAATCTTGGGTGGCCCGACACACGTCAAGAACTGAACAGCACGTGATATGAACCGTATGTGGATGTAGACGGACAGTTGGCTTCGTTCTCAGTGTTGACAGTGGTTCTTCCTCTTTTTTACTTTTTCTTTCTTTTCCTTTTCGTCTTTTTTCTCCCCTTTTTTTGTTTTTTTTTCCTTTTTCTAGTTCCCTCTCACTCTCGCAAACATTTTTCAAGGCGAGAGGGACGCGGCAGCAACGAAGTTTGGAAGCTCATGGCAGTATAACTCATCCCCTGATGAAGGGAGGACCCCTCCCGAAACTGTTGGGAAATAAATATATTTATCCTTGTTGACAACGCTCCCGTTGTGCCATATCTCATACCTATATATATATATATATATATATATATATATATATATATATATATATATATATATATATATATATATATATATATATATATATATATATATATACTGACTAGTCCCTGAGCTGTTATGAGCGCTGTTAATTTGACGTAGCTCACGAGACGAACTAACCGGCCACTGATTGGGCGAGGAGCTCATCAGCGGGTCCCTGTGTGGGTGTGTCTGGGGAGGCGGTGGCGGCGGCTGTGGCGGCTGGAGCTCGTAGTAGCAGCAGCTCGTCATCGTCATGGAGTCGGCGTTGACCGGCGCGCGCGCTTCGTCGTATGGGAGCCCCTGCTGATGTTCGAGAGTCGCTGGCGGACAGTAGGCGCCCCCGGTACCGTATGGAGAGCGCGACGTTGAGTCTGCCTCGGGCCAGCAGGGAGACCTCCGCTCGACCTTTATGTCCAGCTGGAAAGAACGAACGAACGAAGAGAGCAGTAAATAAATAAATGTTCGTGAAATAAAACCGCACAAACTCGTACGCTAGTGGCACAGTGCGTAAGCAACGATGTCTCATCTTTATGTTAAATGTGAAGCACTTCTTTGCGTACTGCGGGCACTTTGAGCATCCATCCATCCATCCATCCATCCATCCATCCATCCATCCATCCATCCATCCATCCATCCATCCCATCCATCCCATCCATCCCATCCATCCATCCCATCCATCCATCCCATCCATCCCATCCATCCCATCCATCCATCCCATCCATCCATCCCATCCATCCATCCCATCCATCCATCCCATCCATCCATCCCATCCCATCCATCCATTCCATCCCATTCATCCCATCCCATCCCATTCATCCCATCCCATCCATTCATTCCATCCCATACATCCATTCCATCCCTTACATCTATTCCATCCCTTACATCCATCGTCTGGATGCTCTCGTAATCATCCCCTTAACTTAAGGTAAACCAAAATTAGTATTGGAGACTAAGATGGTCTTACGAATATGACCCGCTCGTCATGACAAGGATAGTATCAATCCCGTAGCGCCTATCGTCAAACCCTTTCTGCAAGGCATGGGGTGCATACCCGCGGATGAGTGTGTGCTACAAATATAGACGGGTATGTGCCTAAGGTATTTTAAAGTCTGTATCTACCCAGCAACGGCGAAAACAGACATGGGTGCTTTAAACGCGTGAGTGTTAGCAAAAAAGGCGACATCGACAGCGTCTTCCCGAGCAGTGCAAAGAACAAATGTCAGCGCCGCAGCAGGAATCAAACTCAAGCATTTTTCGTGGCAATCACGTATTCCACCACAAAGCCACGCCAGGTCTTCGACCTAGTTTTGAAGTAAACCCTATAGTGTTCGTGAAACGTCAATTGTGGTTGAAGTGCTCTCTATCTAACCTCATAAACATGACATACGTGCTCCTATGATACAGCCGTCACGCCGGGTTAACGTCAGTTGTAGTTGGGCGCCATCCACTGAATTTGATTTATGTAGCAGTGTCCAGGACTACCATCATCGCGAGCACCAGCCTTTCATATCAGCTTACCACTTCTGGTGTTGCCAATATTCTTGTGAGGGCCCAGTGTGCTCTACAATGTACACTCAATTTTTCGGGAATCCAAAACACAGAATGCAGCCTTGTGATCTCGTTTCTTCAATGCTATAGCCGTTGCTCGAGGTTGTAGCGAGGCAGAGGCGTAGCCAGGGGGTGGCACATCAGGCCTGGCACCCCCACCCCCGATTTTTTTTTTCACTGGGGCATTCAGAGCGAGGGCCGTAGCCAGAAATAATTTCTTCGGGTGGGGCTCAACCATACTTTATGTATGTTCATACGCGCCTTTGTATGTGTGCCTGCATGCAAATTACGCAAGCAAAACTGGAAAATTTCGGAGGGGTTTAAACTCCCCCTGCCTCCTAGGCTACGCCACTGTAAGTTAATTACGGATGATATTCAATATAACCCAATTGAGTACCGATTGATGAACAAAAAGAATTAAGCACGTAGTAATAGTTACGCGGTGATTAGTGGCAATTATTTAGTTATAGTTGGACGTCGTATAGTGTGCAGAGAAAAATAGCCAAACCGCATTGTTTTCAAATGCGGGTCATCTCTTGTGAATACACAAGGAATCCTGCGGGTTTCATTTCAGAAAAGAGTGTCAACGCCCCTCCACCTTTCTAATTCTGTCACGCTGCTGTTTTGTCCTCCAGGGTGGATCAGTGATCACGTTGTTCGGCTGCTGACCCAAAGGTCGCGGGTACGATGTCAGCCACCGCGGGCACATTTCGGTGGAGGCCCGCGTAGTGTGCGATGTCAGTGCAAGTTAAATAACACCAGATGGTCGAAATTCCCGAAGCCCTTCACTATGGCCTTATTCATAGTCGCATCATGGTCTTCTTCATCTTGATCAGCCTGATTACGTCCACTGCAGGACAAAGGCCTCTCCCATGTTCCGCCAATTATCCCGGTCCTGTGCTTGCTGCTGCCAATTTACACCCGCAAACTTCTTTAATCTCATCTGCCCACCTAACCTTCTGTCTCCCCCTAACCCACTTGCCTCCTCTGGGAATCCAGTTAATTAGCCTGAATGACCAGCGGTTATCCTGTCTACGCGCTACATGCCCGGCCCACGTCCATTTCCTCTTCTTGATTTCAACTCCCACCGCATCATGGTATAGGGACGTAAACCCCAAACTATTGTTATATTTCTGCTTCGATTGCGTAGCCTTCAGCAGACAAGGTGACAAATAACGATTGAAATCATTATTTGGCAACCCCCCCACCCCTCCTCAGGTGGTCAGCAAACCGCTCACAATACAAGCGTTCCGGCGGGCACCGCCGCTAGTCGTCGAATGCTTACCCGCGAATTTAACGTTTCGGCTATTCGTTCACGATTCGCGGCGAGTTCCGGAGTATTCATTGGCGCACGCGCATATACGTCCCTACTAGTACGTGTGCGCATGCTCCACTGCTAGCCTCGTACACGCGTGTAATGTGATTAGAACGAACGATTACATAACACCGATAGTTTCAGGCCATCGGACACATGCGTCGTTCGTGAGGATAGACTGCCTTGCTTGACAAAGAACTCGATTATCGCAGCTTGCGAAGATAGTGGTCGGTTCGTTCGCTTTATAACTATTGTTTTTCTAACCAGACCCTCTCGTGCACGAGGTGAGGCAGGTGGTGTTGTTTAGGCAAACTGCCGCGTAACAAATTTTTCAACTGACAGCCAGCGCCCGGTTCCGTAATGTTATTCCCTTTGCCTCTCGTTTTTACTTCGCAATGTTGATTGCTAAGCAGTCATACCAAGTAGCCGCAGTTACCTTTCTTTTAGAAGATATGCATCTACCTGTTTAGCCTTAATTGTGGATACACTAGTTTGCGAGCATTCAAATAGATCATTCAGTTTACCACGTCATCGAAGTGTACCACATCGTCAACGTTCTTTTTAATTATCTATAGATCAGAGTGGTGACTCTCTAGGAACGCGATTTTCAGGAACAGTTGGTGCCGGATGACAAATGCATAGTTCGCAGCGTAACGTGCAGAAAACCCTGTTTTAGAGGCAACTCGCCCACTTTCGAGCGACCATGCTGATGCAGACCAACCCTGTATGGGTCACTTTTAAGTCAGTAGGCGAAACGGAAGTGCAAGACAAAGAAGGCCACATGCAAGAGTCTTATCATTTGGTCTATGCCTTGCACTTCCGTTTTTAGAGCAGTCTCAAGTTCGAACTCCTAACCAACTGGTCCAACCTCGCATTATTTTGCTGTTTGTATACCGCAAACTAGAGTGGCTTATCAATCATTTCAATGACTATGAGCAGGCCTCGCGTAACATTTGTTACCAGGATTGTTGATGCTTGCTTACTGGCACACAGAGAAATAACCCTACAGCGGACTTTTGTATTCCGCGTCCCTTCTGTGGTGGTTACACGTCTTGCGTTCCAGTATGCTTCCCGTTGCGAAACAGCGGCGTAACCATGGTTACGCCGCTGTGCCCGAGCTCGTTCCTGCCCCCCCCCCCCTTGAATTTTTTTCCCCAAAGTATATAGACTATTTTACGGATGGGTTTGCGTGGAGCCGTATCGGGCTGCTAACCCTCGTGTTTTCAATCTTGAACAACTAAACCAACAGAGTTACGCTAGACGCATACGTATGAAGAGGGTTGGGTTGATGCGCACATTTGATGGCCCTGTCAATTCAGTTCGCAATGTACAAAAACAAGAAAAACAATGGCTTAACTGCTCAAGATTATGGTATCACGATGTCTTAGGTGGAGTGGTCTATACAAAGCACAAAGTGACACTCGACAAAAATAACACTGCCCGGACCCCACTTCTGGCCAAGAAGGTGCCCCTCGCACCAAAAACATCCTGCCTACACATTCATGCATGGGCAAGCAGCGTCTCACAATGTCAGCAGGTTGAATTGTTTTGAAACCAGGGGTTGTTAGGTACACATGATTCGCACTATTCGTCGCGGAATAGCGCCAAATTACATGAAATGCGAAAGAATTAGAAAAAGAAACAAGCCCTGACTGTCAACTTATAGGGCATTTGTCGTCCTATATATGTCGCATTGTTCCGCAGCGAGTCATTGCCAACTGTAACAGTTAACCATACTTTTGGTATTCTCTCGATTGGTTTTAAATGTCTTACACTTTTACAAGTCCTCAAAACTCCAGTAGAACGCGTCTTTTCTCCTTTTAGTTTCATTAGTGAGGTGGCTGCAGGTCCGTCAAACTGGATCTCAAATTGTTAACGTTGGGGTATCTGGCAGAGCGCCACAGCTAATATGTCAGCTGGGCGAGCAATACTGAAGTTGCTGTTGTGATTGCCAAGTGTAAAGTAGCGTACTCGAATAGAATGCGTGAAGGCCCCTATTCAAGTGTAATTTGAATGCAAAAAGGTGACCAATTCTTTGAACATAATATCAAATGAATTGGGTTTCACGTGCATAAACAGCCATACCATCAAGCACGTAATCGTGTAAAATTCCAGAAGTTTCAATCATGTCGGGTTTTGTTTAACGCGCACCAAAATCGGTGCGCTTGGGCCACTAGCAATTCGAGCTCTGAAGGCGGGAGTCCGACAGCACATACACGTTACAAATATTCACTCGACTATTCTGCTGCACGGCAACTTTCATATACACTATCACAAGTTATATTCACGTTGGTACGAGGGGCTGCGGAATATCGTGGTGTTCATTACCGAAAGCGTTTGTGTAAACGACAATCTCGTCAAAATTCACCCAAGACATTTCACTAAATTAGCACGTGCAATCACCGTCGCAAGGGAGGCCTTGGGACCATCTCGTTCGCCTTGGGTTCTTTGACGTGCGCTTAAGTCTAGGCACGCTGGCCTCCAAAGCATCTGGCCTTCATTGAGCTGTGATTGATTGATTGATATGTGAAGTTTAACGTACCAAAACCACTATATGATTATGAGAGACGCCGTAGTGGAGGGCTCCGGAAATTTTGACCCCCTGGGGTTCTTTAACGTGCACCCAAATCTGAGCATACGGGCGTACAGCATTTCCGCCTCCATCGGAATTGCAGCCGCCGCAGCCGGGATTCGATCCCGCGACCTGCGGGTCAGCAGCCGAGTACCTTAGCCACCAGACCCTTCATCGAGCTGTGACCACCGCGGCCAGGGGGGAACACGCGGCCTTTAGGTCAGCAGCCGAGTGGCCTCACTGCGGTGGTCTAGTGGCTAAGGTACTCGGCTGCTGACCCGCAGGTCGCGGGATCGAATCCCGGCTGCGGCGGCTGCATTTTCGATGGAGGCGGAAATGCTGTACGCCCGTATGCTCAGATTGGGTGCACGTTAAAGAAGCCCAGGGGGTCAAAATTTCTGGAGCCCTCCACTACGGCGTGTCTCAATCATATGGCGGTTTTGGGACGTTAAATCCTACATATCAATCAGCAGCCGAGTGTCATACTCGAGAAATCATCCGAACGCCTAACAACGTTCGAGTTTTCGAAGGCGATTGATTCGCGCGGCAGTCTATAACTGTCAGAAAAGCTGGACAACCACTTCGAGAAAGCTAGCGCAAACGATTGAAAGTCGCGGCGGCTCAACACCATCAAATGGCAATCTTCGTTTGTTTTTTGACGTCATTGCACCGGCGGTTATAGAGTGATGCTGCCATAATAACTGAAACGTGTGTGATTGTGTTGCGTTCTCTTCGTCTCTTTCCATGGTAGCATACCGGGGCTTCCAGAGTGTTCATCATCTCTGCCTGCCCTTCGCTTCTCTTACGTTTCTTTCTTCGTTTTCTAATGCCGTCCTGCGTCTCAACAGTAAAATTGTCAAAAGTATGCGTGTTGCAGGCTTTAAGCACTCCCCTTAGCCGTTGAAGCCCGAGCAGCCAAAAGCGCAGCGATGTACCATAGAACTACCGCATGACAAATTCATCAGTACATAAATTGGCCAAGCGATCAAACAGTAAAGCAGCCTCGGTGAAAGTGATAAAATCAGTCTAAATGCATGCGTTTTCCCCGATTATCTGTCCACCGCAGTGTTGGCTGTGTACCAGTTACGGATTTTGACTGCTAGCCAGAAGGTCGCGGCTTCGAGCACGGTTGAGGCGGTCGCATTTCGATGGTGGCAAATCACTAGAGGTCAGTGTATACTGAGCGATTTCGGTTCGCGTTAAAAAGACACCAGATAATCGAAATTTACGGAGCTCTCCACTATGTCCTCACTCGTAATATTATCACGGTTTCGGACCGCAACACTCCGACAATTATCATTTACCGATTGACTGTAGCAACGGCTGGTAAATTCGGCACCGGGGCATTCGTTCCCCGCCTATCAGTCCTGTCTAAAGGGCTAATATCGGGCTCAAATCGTGAATGGTGCCTTCGCAAGTGACTAACTATATACACGAAGGAGCGGAGCTAAAAGTGAATGGCTGCGCTATTGAAGCCGTGCGCTGTCTAAAACCGATTCGCCATAAACTAACACGCAGAACTGTACGGCATACGAACGAAGAAGCCCGAGCAAAAAAAAAAACTGTTGCTTTGCAGCTCTTGTACAATATTGCGCTGCGCGCAACGTTTCGAGCATTTTTTTTCAATCACCGCAGAAGAGAAAAGTGGTTAAATGCGCCGCGATCGACGAGCGTCAGAAAAAAAAATATGGCAAATAGTAATTTCGGGGCTCTTGTGAGCCCAAACAGTGACACGATAATCAAGCAAGCCGTATAGTGGAGGGCTCCGAGAATTTCGACCAGGTTCGTCCGAAAATGCGGCCGTCGCGGTTGGAATTCGAGCCCGGCCCCGCCGCGGTGGTCTAGTGGCTAAGGTACTCGGCTGCTGACCCACAGGTCGCGGGTTCGAATCCCAGCTGCAGCGGCTGCATTTCCCATGGAGGCGGAAATGTAGGCCCGTGTGCTCAGATTTGGGTGCACGTTAAAGAACCCCAGGTGGTCACAATTTCCGTAGCCCTCAACTACGGCGTCTCTCATAATCATATGGTGGTTTTGGGACGTTAAACCCCACAAATCAATGAATCAATTCGAGCCCGTTTCCTTCGGGTCAGCAACCGAGCATTGTATAACAACTATACCGCAACTAGACTACAGCAGAGGCCGAAAAATATAGTCAAAACGAGGAGCGTTAGTATCCGGAACTAGGCTAATGAATTCTCAGGTGAAAGAAGGCGTATCATTTCACCAAAAAAAAAAACCTTGCGAGCGATATCTGTTGGGGTCGACGCAAAGAAAGTCAAGTATAGCAGGCCGCTTGACCGCGAAGCATATAGTTTCACGCATGCCATTAACGCAGAACAACTCCTTGCACAAGCAGGTAAGTTCATGCCCCGAAATGAAAAAACTACAGCTGAAAAAAAATGTTTTCTTTCTCACAGCAACGTCTAGCATATCCAGCGCATCAATGAAAGCAAGCTAAAACTAACCAATACCAGCTTATGAGCTATCTAAACCGGCGACGCGTGTCACTGAAAATGACTGCCCGTCGTAATGACAGAGCCCAAACTAAACATGTTAATGCTAAGCGCGTGACAAGTCAAGATCAAAATCCATCTATGACCCACTATTCGGTTAACGTGCATATGTAGGTAAAATTAGTCGCACGGCTTCTAGCTTACGGTATGCGGAGAAACACACTGCCGGCAGACCGCAAGCAGCAGAAGCAACAAGCCAACAACGATTAGTGGAAACGGCAGTGACAATAGACGAACGGCAATAAAATACAAGCATCCACACCTTGGGCTCCAGTTCTTGATCCAGGAAGCTCCAGAAGTTGCACGCCTCGTCGTAGGCTTCCGATATGTCGCCGGTGTAGAAGCGCCTCGTCTGCTGATCGTCGGTGGGACAGCCGGGCGTCGGCCGACAAAAGTTGCCGCTGCAACACCCCATGAGCCTAATGTGAACGCGTTTCTCGGGCCAACATGTCGCGATAACGCAACCGGCACAGTGGGCGCGTCATGATAACGCGCGAAAAGCAGCGCGCCGAATACTGGCTCGTCATTACCGCGATCACATACTTCAGTGTTCCGCCCCGACGCGCCTTCTCTCCACCCCCTATGGTCACTTCATGCTGTTTCAAGTACTAACACCGAGTGTCTGGCAGGCACGACGTTCTTTTGACCTAACAATATAACTATGACGTAAAGTCGATAGGGGCATGCGCAAGTACATTTCACTAAGCGCTATCTGTGCCCGAATTTTTTTTTTTTTTCAAGCTTGACGCGAAACGTTCACGCGACCGACAACATTTCACGATGCGACGATCAAAGAGTGGGCGGGTGTGCGATAAACGCCCATCGTTATCGGTAGGCACGCTTGATGGATTTAACATGGTAAGGCGTGAAGCAAGTAATAAGGAAAATTGACAGATCACACGATACGATAAAGCGTCAGAAGCGTAAGGCAAGATACGTTTTTCACTTATATAAATGCAGCACATTCGATTATATGCGAGGCTTTGGGCTAAAGTTCTGGAAATATTTTTTTTTGCGCATAAAAGCGCGTGATTGTTATTCTTTCACGCCTATACTGCGCGCGTTCCCACAAACGCAAATTTAGTTATGAAATAACTATCTGAAACCCGGCGACCCGGGCCTGGGGCAGCTTAAATGACAGCTTAGAGCCAGGGCCGTGCCCAGAAATTTTTTTCGGGGGGGGGGGGGGCAACACCATAATTTCGGGGAGGGCACCCCCTTAAAATGGTCATTTTCCACTCTCTACATGCTATGGTGCGAAAAATTTTGAAATGGGGGGGGGGGGGGGGGGAGGGTTCGGTGTGCCACCCACTGGCTACGCCCGTGGTTAGCGCTATTGCCCCCTTGTGGTGTGCCCTTGTACAATTTCACCTCACGCTAGGTGTATTAATCAATCAATTAATGAGTCACGATGCTGCCAACGACGTAGCTTGTATACATCGAATAATGCTCATATTGAAATCCATGCGCTGTGGTATAGGGCCACAACAAGAAAATGAAAAGTCGCACAGAGCGTCACGGCTTCGCCGAAGACGACAATAAGGCGAACTTCAGGTAGGACATGTCAAGCCGATCGCGGCCAACACCATCAAACATAACGCAGCAATAATATAAGGACACCGGCTCGCACGTGGAATCCGGTCAATGAGGGGGTCTCAACGTGTAAGCCTGAAGTTCGATGCAACTCCTCCCCTGAGTTTTACTGTAGCGTCACGTCTCCTCCCTATCGGTCTAGTCAGCATACAGAAATGGGTTTTCTAATGCATGAAAAAAAAATGTAAAGACGACATGCTCCTATCGAAAACCTGTCATGGGTATTCTGCTTTCCGGGGTGAAGACGACACGTTAAACAGTTCTTTGAATGAAACAACAGGAACTCTTGGTCGCCATTATTGTCAAAACGAAAGGCTTACTTTAAACCAGCGCTTAAAAAGTTACGTGAAAGGTCCAACTTGAGTAAATGTATGGGGCGCATTTGGTACCTCCCTTCGTATGTTTGAGAGGGGGGGGGGGCATCCCCTTTTCCTACCCTCCGCCCTTTTTACGAACGCCTCTGCGTTGCAGTCCCAGAGCATTGTAGCTACAGCCCCGCTTTAGGGCTACAGGTCAACCTGAAATCGTTTTTTTTTTTTCTTGTTTTGCGTACTCGGCTATGGACCGGGATACAAAAGTTTCTCGCAAAACATGCTGTGATCTTGGCACAATTTAAGAAACCGGACACTTCTTGGCCTCGCAGGCTTCCTATATAGTTACCATGGCGGGAGCGATGTCGTCTATAGATAGGATCATGGCACCACTGGAGTGGCGAATTCACTCATGGCTAAGCCGTGGTATACACATGCACGTAAAGACAATACCATTCACACACCTGGGAGGCAGGGACTGTCCAATGTCCTGGGAGATAGCGGACTGACACTGCGGAGTGTATGCGTCCGGGCAGGGTCCAGCAAGCTCCGATTGAGCCATCGTTGTAGCCGCGCTCTGAGCGTTGTCTTCGACGTAAACGACCTCCGCTGGGGCCTCGTAAGACTCCGGCCACATCTCTTCGCTGGGAGGCTGCGTCGCCTGGGACGCAGTGAAGTCACCAAACGACCGCAGCTCGTCTGTGACGACCGGAGTTTCCATCTCTGTGTCACCCGGTTCTTCTCTAGGCTGTTGCCGCAAAAGATAGAGGGGAAAATATAATGTCAATACTGATAACTACTGAGAGAAGTGGTTATTTGAGACTTACTCTTCTAACTGCATAGCATACTGCAATGTGCTACTACACGTAGAGGTCTATTTAATAAGTCATTCGTATGAATTCCGCTTTTTGTTCGACCAAAGGAAGACCTCCGAGTAGTATTTAAACTCGCACTCTCCACTCAGCAAAATATTACACTGTGACGAGCCGACTGATTTGAAAGCCGTCTTCAGTTAACACTACAGGTGAAGCCAGCGGGGTGGTAACTGGACGTTCATCATGTGATGTCACGTTTTGTGGCGGGACTTTAAAATGACGCCACGAATTTTGGTTATCCGTGACGTCATGACGACGCCATATGACGACGTCATCGAGTGCTAATTGTTCGCATCACTTTCGGTGACGCTATAGTGGGTACGCCGACTTTGGAGACAATTTTTGCATTTCATGAGACGTCTAAGGCTTTCGTCTTCAAGGAATTGCGTACGAGCCATTTATTCAGCGTTCTTCTTAAGATATTTTTGTGTTGTGCAAAGCAATGTGTACATGAATTACAAGTAGCGAGGATGACCAGCATGTGCTGCTATACCCTGGCAAGGTTTCCGTTACTTGTTGTTGTTCTCTTTTAAAAGGCGACAGTCTTTCTTGGGATATTTCGACGAAGAAATTTCGATCTGTCCGTCTTTCTCACGGTCTGTGTGTCGCACGATTGAGCCAACCCGGCACAAGTTTAAGCATATGCTCAACGCCGAGCCATCTTCATCTGCTTGATGCATTCACACTTGTTAACGTTGTCAATAAAACAGCAAATATTGCACCCATTTGGGCGCAACATCATTAATTTAGTATGAGTCATTGTTTAGTAAGTGCATAAATACGTAATTCCTAAGACCACAGTGCTTATTGCACCGCACTGACAACGCCGCGCAATGAGCGCAGAGCAGGGAGGGTATTTTCTACGCTCCAGCCAGGAGTGAAATTCACCTTTTCACTACGTAGAGTTAGTACTACATAATGTGTTATGGCTAAAAATGCATGAGCCACCACTCGATCAAAAAGGCCGCCGCCCCATCCATCACCCTTTAACACAAGCTCGTTGTACACCTTGAAACGGAAAAGTAACTGGAGCGGCAATGAACAAGCTGGCCCTGATAACTCTAGCCCGAGTTTGAAAATATGCCGTCACGCTTTATGACAACGAGATCAAATAGCACAGCCATCGACTTTTAAGAATATTGCATCGAGTGATTAACAGTATCTTTGTGTTGTAGGTAATTGTTTAATTTGACGTTCGAATTAATACATCCAACACAATCAATCTGGTCGGAAGATTCTAATAAGAAAGCTTTAGACCAGCTTGCAAAAGGCCCTGTTAGACAGTTTTCAACATTCTATAGATTAGGCTATCGTGTTTGCTCACTCACAGCAGATGCCTTTCAAAGTACTTAAATTTCCACATTTTTCCTTCATTTATAGCTAGGGCCTCTTCTTCAAAGACATGATGCGTTCACATATAGTATACGAAGGATTATAGGTGAGCTTGTAACTAGTATTAAGATCACGTGCTATGTGATATCATCAAGCATAAAAAGAGTGTTCCAATCAAGCAGGTTTAAACTTCAGTTCCACACGCCACCACGGCTTCTAGCGGCGCTGAATAACACTCCCAGGTTTAAATGCATGTATATACCCCATAAAGTCGGCGGGGGGAGGGGGGATGACCGCTGCTGTAGCTCGGTTGTTATATCATCGGACGCGTTATTAGAAGGTCGCAGGTTCGTTCCCTGTCGGCAGCAAGTTACCTTTTTGTTCACGTTTTTTTTTTCTTCCCATCTGTATTATACAGCCGGAGTCACGTCTGTGTAGAGGGCGCGAGGAGCCGGTTTTCACACTGCGAGGCGACATCTTGAGGCAGTTTCATGCTCTGGTGTGGTGTGCCAGGATCATGGCCTAGTATTCTGGCTGACGACGTCATAGCGAAACTGTCTTAAGGTGTCGCGCCACAGAGCAAAAAAAAAGTCCCCCACCACCCCAAAGGGAATCGCGATTGATTGATTGATATGTGGGGTTTAACGTCCCAAAACCACTATATGATTATGAGAGACGCCGTAGTGGAGGGCTCCGGAAATTTAGACCACCTGGGGTTCTTTAACGTGCACCCAAATCTGAGCACACGGGCCTACAACAGTTCCGCCTCCATCGGAAATGCAGCCGCCGCAGCCGGGATTCGAACCCGCGCCCTGCGGGTCAGCAGCCGAGTATCTTAGCCACTAGACCACCGCGGCGGGGCAAAGGGAATCGCTAGGAAATGCAAATACATTTCTTTCACCGAGAGTACATGGCGTATTAGTTTTTATGGCACAAATTAATGACGAGACGCGAATTTGTACCGTAACCATTCATTTATACATTCATCAGACAGCAAACCGTCGAGAGTGAGGCGCGCGCATCACTCCCTTGATATGTACGTGCGAGCGAGTGGATGGTAGAGTGGGGCGCACGGAGGTGAGCGACCAGCGAGAGAAGGAGCGGCGAAGCACTGAACTTACTCTCTCCTACCCTCCCTCCCCAAACGCAGGAACTCCGCTAAGCTCCCGCTAAGCGAGTGCCCTCACAGCCCAGAGCGCGCTCTTCCGCTCTACTTACTCTCTGCTACTCCACCCACACCACTTGCTCTGGTTGCTAGGGGCGAGGATAAGCGCCCACCGCTGTTGCTATGAGAGAGGGAGTGAGAGCGGAGAGATAACACCTGTCGGCGCACGGACACCGAGAGACGCCTGACATGCCCTGACTAAGAAATACATTCTCATTTAAAAGTACCTTCTCGCATCATCTACAGAGACGTAGCCGCACCTGTACATTACAGTTACTGCTAACAGCATCTCGCATACTTTCCTTGGGCTCGCTGTCAGCTCTCATTATTATTGCGTTTAAGCAAAGAAGAACAAGCCCTCGAATTCTCACTTTTTTCCCTTCAAAAATATACCAAGTAGTTAACCCGCTCGAGCACCACATTGCAGTGCACTCTAACGTTGCCCCACCACGGTGGTCTAGTGGCTAAGGTACTAGGCTGCTGACCCGCAGGTCGCGGGTTCGCATCTCGGCTGCGGCGGTTGCATATCCGATGGAGGCGGAAATGTTGTAGGCCCGTGTGCTCAGATTTGGGTGCATGTTAAAGAACCCCAGGTGGTCGAAATTTCCGGACCCCTCCACTACGGCATCTCTCATAATCATATGGTGGTTTTGGGACGTTAAACCCCACATACCAACCAACCACTCTAACGTTCTGCGAACAAAAAAACATACACTGCTTCTCTTACTTCAAGTAATGGTCCATGGAGATAAGCAGGCGTAGTGGTTATCGCTTGCGCAGCCGTTAGCAACAGGTTCGTTTTGGCACAACCACAGGCGGCACCGTCCCATCGACATTTAAAGTGGCAGCACAGAGAGCCGAATCGTATGGCCATTTGGAAGCGCCAGCGGGCACCTCACGTGGTAAATTTTTAATTTTATTTCGTGGGCATCTGCTCGAAACGGGAAAATAACGAATGCCTAATGGATGGAAGGATGAAGGCCTTTTAACTAAGTTTTCTTCAAACTGATATATAAAACTTATTCATTCGAATATTTAGCCTAGCTTCTTTAATTTAGAAAGTTATTAATGGTTATCACTTACTTAATGAATGAAGTACGACAAAAGATAGTCTGCCGCACTTTCTGCAATAGACGGAAAAATAAATTTCATTTCCATCGTAACGTGCTGCTGCCCTTTATGACCAACTCTGGCCAGAGTTAGATTTGGAACCCTGAATACCACCGCAATCTTGAAGAAAGTGCGACTACAAAAACTTTGATAAGTGCCTTGAAACTTGTATAATGAAATAAATGCAGTAAATTCATTCGTTAATGTTTCAATTATTTCATTTAGTCGGTCGTATTACTATTTAACTTCACCGTGCAGTTGAGATGCCTCCTGTACAAAAACTAAAAATGTGCCTTCTAAATAACGCAGTATTTTCTTAAAACGGCTGTGTAATCCGAAAAAGAACAACTCCGAGCACACAACTGAAGGCGGGGCACAAACAAAAATTGTCAACTAAAGGACAATTTCTACATTGTCTTGCTTTCCTGAAAGAAATCTCCATCTCTACGCAGCAAAATTTGTTAAAACCATGAAGAGATCTGTGACCCCAATTCTTGAAAGAATTGCGTGGTGATCGTAGACAAAAGGATTCTTCTGCTATAGCCTGGGCACCAAGTGCATGATTCTGCAAGGCATTTTGTGAGCAAACACAGATATTAGAAAAAAAATAAAACGGAAAGCACCATGCATCACCGAAAGTTCAAGTGAAAGTATGCACGACATGGCTTAGTAACGAAAAGACGCAATCGCTTAAAAATTTGTTGACCATCTAATCAATGATGCCATGACTGACTAAGGTGCACAAAACGAGCAAGTTCGGCACAGAATATGTCAGTGAATGCAGTAGAAGCTGTAAAGCAGACAGTCACACCGGGCGACGAATCACATTGCTCAGAGTTAATGTCCCAGTGGCTCGGCAAACATGCCACATACGACGAAATCAACAAACGTGCATGGTGGCACTTTCAGAGCCCCAAGTTCAAAATCACTCACCGTGCATTGCGTTCACAATGAACCCGGACACACAATGGTAAGATGCGCTGACAAAAACCGCGGTCACACGCGTCGCTATGCGGTCCAGACAAGCGCCGTTCACAGGTGTGGGCGTGTGGTAACTGAAATCGCGACCGAAACGAGGATTCACGAGTTCCTGGCGCGCAACCGGTGGTGAGCATTCATCTGCCCTCTCCCACTGCGTCACACTCTCTCAGTCTGGCTCAAGCGCTAGTATATCTGTCACACATTTTGATATCAAGATGACTTGGCGATAACGCAAGCCGGTAGCCACGGATGGCCACGGCTCGAAGCAGCAGCCGATTCTGGGCGCGGCTCGGCACTGTCTGCGTCGCGAGAGTCGTCTGCTATGTTAGCCGAACAAACATGCATGGCGTGGCGTATTAACATCATTAATAGGAAATAAAATAAAGTATATCCATGGAGTGAATGATTATGAATGCGTTGAAGCGTCCATACGTCCTTCCGTCCGTCCGTCCGTCTGTCTGTCTGTCTGTCTGTCTGTCTGTCTGTCTGTCTGTCTGTCTGTCTGTCTGTCTGTCTGTCTGTCTGTCTGTCTGTCTGTCTGTCTGTCTGTCTGTCTGTCTGTCTGTCTGTCTTCCATGTGATGTTCCGCAATCCTTCTGTTTGAAGAGTTGGGTAGATTTCAGGTATCCCGAGTGTAATGCTTACTATATATGTCCAGTAAAGTAACCTATTCTTTTCCTCGGCAGTTCGCGGAAAGAAAGAGGGAAACAAACGTTTATTTTATAAGTGCTAATGTATAAAGATATATATTCTTTTCCATCTACGTGACTTTTTCATTCAAGGAATTTGTTGGCTATTGTTGACACCCTAGCCCCCTCCCTGTCTGCTAGCGTTTGGAGATCACATGTCTGGGCTAGACAGCATGGTCTCCCAGAGTCCTTCCCGTCTCTGTACCACGGTAGCCTAGTTTTCGATTGTTGATTTATTTGTCTTTCATCTTCGGTTGTTTCTGAGCTCTCGCAGATTCTGTGTCTTCTATTATCACGAGGCGTGAAATGCTCGGTATACTACGGCACACATTGAGCAGTACTTTGTGATACCCTAAGATAAACCGTTCGCAGTCTTCCAGTGTTTAATGCACTGAGTTTCAGGTGAAATGTGGAGCATGTTTTTTAATCGTCCCTGCTGCTCTGGAATAACGATGTACACCCTGCAGGAGTGATCGCAAGTTCCCAAGCCACGCGGCCATAGCAGCAGATGCGACGGCGGCGTGGGAACTTTTGATCACCCCTGTACGTCTTCAGGGCGTCTCCCGGCCTCGTCACCTATCAGATTCTAATACCGGCGCTTATGATGTCGATTTGCGTCATCAGATTTATTTTATTCTTGTCAGAAACGGAGGTCCAGATGTCGTAGATATTGCAATACCTCCTCCTCTTTAAATGCGATTTTCAGTAAAGGCTCTGGCTAAGAGCTGTATTTGTGACTTTTTAAGTGTGAATACACTTTATAAGCGACCCCAAACCATCCACCGCCGTCGGCGGCGTCCGCAGTCTTCTCTATCTTTAAAAGAAAGAGGACTTGGCGGGCCGCAGCGCGACGCTCTACCGAATAAGCCACGGACGCGACGCTGATATCGGTGTCAGTAACGCGCCTTATACCCCCTCCCCCTTCGCTCGCTCCTCCGCTCTCCTCGCCAGCTGCAGCTGCGCGTGCACCCCTCTCTCTCGCGTGCCCGCCTTCTCTCTCAGTCTCCCGTCGAGAGCGGGTCGTGAGGGGGAGTAAAGTTAAAATCCGGTGGCATTCGCCAGTGAGTTAACGTAAACTCCCTCGTGTGATCAAATAGCGATTCCCAGGAACCATTACACCATAAAGGCACCATAGTGTGATTAATAAATATAATAGTGCGAATTAATAAATACCCCTCATAGCATCACCCCGTGTATTCACCCTCGTTCACACCCTCGTATTCACCCTAGGGGAAATGCTTGGGAGTTTTTTTTTGTTTTGTTTTGTTTTCAGTTCTGGCAATTTCATCCGTCCGCTTGCTAGTTGGAGATAATCAGGGTTGACTAAATTTCCGTAAAAATGGCGAGCATGGTTGCCGATTCACCTGTTGCGCCTGGTTCCATGGTGATGACCATAGCGGGCATTTTGTCTAGAGTAAGCTGCAGCGCCTATGGTGGAAACTGTGCCTTCTGGATGTTTCGCCGCATCCTGGTGGTTGTGCTCAGCTGAAACTCTTACTCGCTTTGAGTAATGGATTGGATGCACATCGCAACTTCTTTCTGGAGGTTCTACCACGCCGACACCGTGGCTATTCACGTCCGGGTACTTAGTTAAGTTGTAGAAATTGCTCTTCTTGGAAGACGAAACAGAAAAGGGATAATTACGCGTAAGATATGAGCGCTGGTGAACGAGTTGCGTAGATTGTGTACACTCATGGGGATTTACACCCTCAGAAATTCCCCGACAAAAGTAGATGGATGGACGCCTTCTGTTGCAGCTCAATTTATAGAGCAAAAGACGCGTGCTTTGAAGGTTGTACGTTCGGTCCCCACTAATGTAAATGAAAATTTTTCGTCCACTTACACAGATCTTGTTCTATTTACTACACTACAGCATGCAAAGCATCAAACCTTGTTCCATATGTTTTCTTGAGCTATTAAATTTATTTTATTTATTTATTTATTTATTTAATACATACTGCGGACCACACTTCGGTCCAAGCAGGAGGGCATGGTGTAATGCAAAGAGAAATACAATACACGCAAAACAAACAAAAAAAAACAGTGCACAGTTACTCAGTATCGCAAGTACTACATTTGATTGTCTGGTTCCAGTCTGAAATGGTGCGTGGAAAAAAAATTGCCCGCAGCTTCCCTCGGGGGAACACTGAGGAGGATGCGGACCATATAATTGGTTAACGGGGTGTTAAAGTGCGACTTACTTGGGTCGATGGCTAAATTGGTTAACGTGGTTGTAGGAGGGGGTGTTAAATGAGTGAACACGTACACACGTATGCGAAAGGGCGGCGCTGGTCGAAGGGACGTCGATCATTGTGTTTGTGGATTCGTTGGAATTCATTTCACCGCGACCTTGGACGTCGACGCGCCGTACAAACCAACCGACGAGCGGCAACTGAGCGAGCGAGCGCCGACCTTGAGTATATATACAGCACGACGGCGCATGCACTGTCAGCTGTTGAATGTTCTCGAAGCGCGACGCCACATGCGCGTCCACTGGAGAATCAGGAGAATTGTAGATGTCGAACGCGGTGTGTAGAGGAGGAAGGGTGCACAGATGGTGGAGGAGTGAAGCGCGCGCGGTGTGTAGAGGAGGAAGGGATGCACAGATGGTGGAAGAGTGGGCGACGGCGCGACGGCGCATGCGCGCGCGTCAGCTGTCGAATGTTCGAGAAGCGGTGCGGACGGCGCACTACAAGGCGCGAGTATAAGATGCTCCGCATCTAAAATGGAAATTTGAACGTGTCCGTTCTCGCGAAGTACGGAGTTAGTGCATTTGGTTGGCATTTGGTTGAAATTCATTTCATAGCTCTTGGATTTTTAGTTTGCAGGATTCATTTGATTATAATAAAGGGGGGAAAACTATTTAACCGAAGAAATTCGAATTTTATATTCCGAATACACAAACTGTCCCGTTCGATGCATCGAGCTCTCGATGTGGCGGCCCAATTCAGCAGCAGACTCGTGGGCTCGACGCGCTGTTCTTGGATGTCATGCAGCTGATCTCCCACCTGTGAACGAGGCAAACGTGAGACGTTGGTGCCACAAGAAAAAAAAAGAATGTCTCAGCTAAGAAATATGAACCTAAGTTGTACACGATGTGGCAGGACCATGAAGACGGCAAGAACACGCATATGTATATCATCTGCCGTTTACGTCAAAGTTTGAAGACGTTATGGCTAGCAGGAATGTGTCGATCGCTGCAGTTCAGGTCAGTTCAGCTTGTCTTGCAATCTTTTTTCAGCAATCCTGTTGAAGCAAAGTGTCAAAAGTACTGAATTCAGTGACTTCATGCAATGGTAATGATCAACACAAAACAAAACGTAAATCTGAAAAAAGGAAAAAAAAAAGACGAATGGACAGGCATTGAAAGCTATTAAAAAGCAGCTTGACGGAATTTCCGACATGCACTGCGTAGCTTGTGCACACGCAAGTGTTTGTAAATATCATGTTTTACGTCTGGCTGAGTTCGTCCGGTAAGCCATTATTGGTGGTAGAACGTTACCGCGGAGCGCAAAAAAATCAATTAAGTGAAGTAGTTTCAATGGCAACGACAACGACGATGGTGATGATGATGATTACCTCAAGCAATACCTCTATCGCGCGAAAGAATACCGCCCAAACGAATACCGCTCAAAAGCTCAATAACACCTATCAGCTGCTGCAGCGATAATTCGACGTCGTACAAGCTTCCAGCGTGAAAATAAATACAGACTTAGCCACGCATGTAGATCTTCGGCACTTCTTTTCACTAGCGTTTCTGCACATTCGGACTGTTGACATTCTTCCCAGAAGGCTGGTTTACAGTTACGTCACAAACAGCTATACTTCATTGGAATCGCACATTCCTTGAACGGCAACTTCCAGTTATACCCCACACGTCCGCTCTTTTTACCTTTCTTTTTATTTCTATGTTCATTAGCGCAGCCAGAGAAGCGTTTACGACGGTTACGTGCAGCTCTCGCATGCACAATATTGCGAACATGAGTCTATATTTCATTATAAGCAAGTTTACGATGCTCATCTTTCACGACCAGGTCTGAGTTTTTGAGAGGCATTTAACTTCTGAATTAAATGTGAAACGTGTGTGACTTGCTTGTTTTCGTCGGGAAGGTCGCTGATGTCCATGCAATAGTCGATCAGCACGAGTAGACATAGCGTCTTCAGTGAAGGCGCTGCAAAAGTGAACGGAATGGTCTTCAAGTACGTCAAAATAGTATCACAATGATCCATTTGGCATTTATTACGTGAACTGATGAGGCTTAGCAAGTATAGTGAACTAAAAAAATGTGACATCTGACTTGGTATTCGCAGTGCGTTCGCTTGAAAGTTTCAACTCAACTCTTTTTATATAGTGTCGCACAAAAAAGTAACTCGTTCTCTGAAGAGAGCATGCCGTTTGCTACGCTTCCTCATATCTGGGACAACTTTTTTTTTATTTTTTAGTGAATTAAATTAGGAAAGATGCGTTGTATTAAGGCTCCTGGCTACAACATTATCGCGACTTCAGTTATGCCCTCATTTCAGTACCCGTCATTTCTGCTAACGACGCCGCATTGTCCACATGCAAGCATGCACTGTTGGAGCACGGGCGCAATGTTACCGAAACCGGGATGCTAATTTGACCAGGCATTGTAGTTGTCAATGAACTCCAGCGCTCCAATAAGTTATCCTCGAAAACTCACGTCAGAGCATTCACCGAAGGCGACTTGCAAGTCACCTTCTCGCTCCATCCTCCTCCGCCCACCACCCACAGCTTTCTGCATATAAAGGCCTGAGCACATGTACGCGTTGCAGTGAGGGCGTGGCTTCTTGATGCGACGCCACACCCTCTCCCCATGAAGAGAGAGAGAGGGTCACTCGGCTTCGTGAAGCTGCGCGTCCTCTCTCTCCATGGGGTGAGGGGTGCGCACGCTACATCAGAAAGTCGCGCGCTGACACGCTGCAAATCGTCCATGTGGTTAGGCCTTAACGCAGTTTCGCACTTGCTCCAGGACTGTAGGCATTGTAACCTTTCTGCAACGCACCTATCCTACGCTGCCCTTTCGATTGGCACACCTCTGCCCAAGCGACGATGCCATGTGATCGCGTCATCAGTAACGCCATAGGGAGGTCCCGAATTTCGATGACCTAAGACGTCATGATCAAGTTCATCACGTGATAATAATTTCTTACATCGCCCGTTTTGACACCGACGTCGCCCACGCGGATGGTTAATTTTCGCATTTAAAGAGGCATCTAAGCCTTTCGCATTAAAAGAGCCGGAATAACGCTAAAGCTCTGTCCTCAGGATAAGCACGAGCACGCCTCCAGCACATTACATGCACGTGACGCGTTCCCTCACCGAAGTCCAGGATGTGTAGGTCCGGGTGCTCCACGAGGGACGCGGTCTCGCTGGAGTGGCGATACCCTTCCACGACGTTGCCCTTGCTCGACACCGGACTGGAGCGAAAGAACGAGAGGAAGCGCCACCGAAAGAAGCATTTTCATCTTGGCAGGAGACAGTGGAGTCTGGGGTTTGTTCATATACTCCTCAATCAAAGCACAAGGTTCTCGAGCTGAGCAGCGCGGCACTTGACACTTTAAATGCTAAGCGCCGAATTTACTCGGCGTTGGCTACCGTTGCCGACAGTTTCTCAATCACCGCTGTACGGAACAATCTCGCTTGCTTTCCACCCAAGAATAACTTTATTGAATTCTAAAATAAAGTTGATGTTTATTTAAAACCCCATGTGGTGTAAATTGCGCCGCCATGTGGGCGAAAGGAAAGTTTTCCCAAATTGGTGATATATTTTTGTACGATTTACTGACTTGAGTGGTACCAGCATATCTTTATCGCATGATGCATTTTTCGTATACAGTAGGTGCAGAATACGCATACATACTCGTTATTACAGGGTTATACATGCAAACGCACACCTCTTGGGGAAAAGTTCTGGAGGCGTATGTGACGGAAAAATCCCCGTAATGTTATTTATTATCGAACACCTCAAGTAAACGCCTTTTCTTAATATGTGCACCAAGGTTGGTGTGCTGAATTGAGAAACGATACTTTCAGAATAATCACCTAGCTAGAACTATACATTGACGCATGCCACCATTGATGAACGAACCCGCTGAGGCTCGCACTCGTTTTGGGCTGAGAAGAAGAAGAGAACATTTTCGTTGCTCTGGTTCGGGTCAGCTCCTGGCTGTCTGTCTTGTTTCGCTCGAGACAATATCGTGCGATTCTTACCTGGTTCCCCCGAACAGGAACAGTCGGTCGCCGACTACGCAGCATCGATGTCCCCGCCTGGCGGAGGGACCCCTACGCAGGAGCTTTATCGGGCTCCACTGGGAGCACTCTGCGACGATCGAGAATCTCGTTGCAGCGACACATTGTACACAGTTAGCCAACAATCATGGCAGCATAAAACGTGTGACGAATGACTTTATATTATGTCACCAAGATATTGTTCGTACTGCGGAAAAGAACTTGGGGCATCTATAGTGTTGCGACGAAAAAAAGAAACAGCGGATCTGGTTGCGTGACCCTCCTGGTCACCATCAGGTCCCTATCCCTTGCCAAACTATATTGTACATGGCTATGCTACACTTTAAAAGTATCTAATAAATTTGATTTCTGATAGTAGGCGTTATACCAAGTTTCGTATCTATGCACTCTAAACTACTGTCACCCGAACTATAGACGTTCATAAATTGTACACTTTCTATCTCTTTGATTCTTTCTGTCTCCTCCTTTCCATCTCTCGTCCTTTTTTCTCTCTGCGTTCTTCTTTCTTTCCCTCTTGAATCTCTTTCTCCCTATTAATTCCTTGTTGTCTCACCCATAGCAACGCAATCACATGAACTTGATTGGAAATTTTCATATTATTTACTTATTCTCCTCCCGCTTTCCATGTCTCTAGGAGGAGGTAAGTTTATTTACAGAAAGACAGAGAGGTCGGCCTGAGCGATAGCTTGCTCTAGCCTGCTACTCCACACTGGGGGAAGGGAAAATTTCTAATTTGCTACAGCGCATTGCTAGACGCAGACGTGCCACGTAGTTGCTAAGCAACGCGACGAGCTCGGCGCGTTTCTGCACTCGATCCGGCGTCTAACAACGACCTGAATAAGCTGCGCTGTTAGTAAGAAGCTAACCAGATGAATAAAGACAGACAATCACGCCAACGTAAGGTTTCCTTCAATTAATCGTTTGTCAGATTCACTTGATTGTTTCTAATAACCTAATGAGCCCCTCGAAAAAAAATTCACTTTCTTTCCGGTATAAGAACCTAGCATTCGCACAGTGAATTCTTTTGAGAGTGCACTCCACGGACATTGTATACTGTATCCAAAAGCAGTTTAGCTTAATAAAGTGGACAAACGATTCTCTCTAGGTCACCGGTTATTAATTCAATAGGCAAATCAAGTTTCTCCGTCTAGGAGAAATATCGAGGCTCACGAGTTCACCAACCATGTTGAGAGCACGCTAACACTCCAAACTTCACGATTCCGAAAAAAATTCTATACCCTGGTTCCATTTCAATCGAGAATTGGAATGTAAACGGTACTTCGTAACGGACTGGAAAAGATTGCACATTTTTAGGCTGATGTTGACCATTTACGAGGACATTTTAAGTGTGAATACACTTCATAAGCGACCCCAAACCATCCACCGAGTCGGCGGCGTCCGCAGTCTTCTCTCTATCTTTAAAGAAAGAGGACTTGGCGGGCTACAGCACGACGCTCTACCGAATAAGCCACGGACGTGACGCTGATATCGGTGTCAGTAACGCGCCTTATATCTTTAAGTGCCAACCACTGGCACGCGTTCGCTCGCGTCTACGCGTCAAAAGCGTCAAATGCGCCTCTCGGCGTCGGCTTCTGAGGGGAATACGCGAGCAGGCGCGAGGGATCAAGCCGGGCTTGATATTTCGCCTCGCGTACGCTACGTCACCACGCGTACAGCGGCGCCAACCAACCAGAGGCCGCGCGCCAACCAACCAGAGACCGCGATGACTCCGAATGCTGTGCCTAATGGCCGCCGCTTCGAAGGCACAGCCGAGTGCTGAAAGCAAGCATGAAAACTACTCCTAACGTTCCTGAATGACCGCTTCGTAATCTAGAACGACAACGAAACGACGAACGACTGCGAGTGCTACCAGCGTGACGCGGTTTCGTGCCGAGTTCGAGCGACGCCGACAAATCCAGCGAATGCCGGCCGGCTATGCTAGCGCCGGACCCCTGTGCGATCGTCGGCCGAGCGAAAGGAGCATGTCGGTGTTTTTGTGCTTTCATCTGTGACTTTCTGTGCTAAAAACGAGTGCGAACATACTTCGGAGGTTCGAAGGTTTGAGCGTGAGCCCTCGCCTACCGCGGAGGCAATTCAGATCGGTGTCATCTGCATCCAGCGCAGGCCTCTACCATCTAGTTCGTATGAACCAGCACATGCGAGGCACATCGGCTGAAAAAAACTCTACGGTAGTTTCCGTCGCAACATAGACACCATATACGACGACCGAAATATCGCGTAGGTCATACGGAGGAGTTTTTATCTGCACTGTGTTTGTGTTTGTTTTCAACATCAATATTCATCATCGCTGAAAGCGAACCTCGCACTAGCCAACACATTTCCGTGATGTGAAAACGTACGTACTTATATAAGTGTATTCGCGAATTGTATGACGCGGAAACATTCGTTGGCTTCGGTGCTAATCGTTTTTGTGTGTTGCCAAGCTAATCATAAGCGTGCGCTGGTTGGTAGCAGTGAGATGCGACTTCGTGTCGGGTACCAGCGACGCTGACACATTGGGCTGTCAGCGGTCTCATTTCCATTCACGTACAAGACAGAAACTCGAGCGTGCGTCGCTGTGGTGATCGAAAAAGAAAGTTGCATGATTAAGTGCTGCTGGTATTGCCTGCTATTTCACTTCTCGCTTCTTCTGCTTCTGTGCTACGCTCAGTAGCACATACGTTGTTTGGAGGCATTCTAACACACACATTCTTAATTTGTAGTTCATTCTGATACTCATAGCTATAGGCATACAATGGCGCTTCTCCATCATTTTACAGTTTACTATAACATAACGCGCGATCTGTTTACAGCTGGACAGATAACTGAAAACCTTGTGAGAAGCACCTGATTTGAAATCAGCTGCACGATGACACGATTGTGGGAAGAGAAGATCACCACATGTATGCACAGAATGAATTAAGGTGCACTAGTATGGTACTGCACTTTGTGTAGAAGAAATGCAAAAAGTACCTCATGTGACTTATGAGTCCTTTCAGAGCTGTGCTTGTATTTATCTGTGCCTCCAGACTGTAATGAGCTCAATATATTCGATGGTTCTGAACATTGAATATTTGTATGTGTTTCCAAGGAGTCCTTCATTTCTGTTCGGTTTTTTAGTATATGCATTAACTTGGATTATATATACGCATTCACTTCAGCATATTCTGTGTAGTTCTGTTGGAAAACTTGCCAAAACTTCTGTACGGTGCTCTGGTGCAATCCTTTGATCAGTATCTGTCCCATCAAAAATTTTTGGCATGCTTTATTGCATTATAGTGTATTTTGACAATTAATGACATGCTAAAGCCACAGTGCTTGGCTGTAATCTCAAAACCAATGTCTGTCTCATCAAGAAGTGTCAGATGCATTTTGTAGATGTTAAAGGATATTTAAACTACCAGCAAAGTGCTGAAGTATTCAACACAGCACTAATCCGCAATCACCACCCAGCTTAGAAGTCATTTGTAGAGTTCTCTAACACGTTCAAATAAAGTTATCAAACACTGGATTGATCTACTTGGTTTGATTCCTAATCCCAGTGTGTCTGACTTTTTGGAGGCACTTGTATTATAATAATGTCCTATTTCTCTCATTTATTACAGGGGTGCACTCAAGGGTAGTGATATTTGTTTACCTTGGCACACTTAATGTGATATTACTGTTTATATCCTTTCATTTTGTATATATGTATGCCACTTTTGCAGTAGCCTCACAGTGAGCAGCTGTATTTGATAATAAATAAATATACCATCCGAAAGTGTTCAACGCTGTGCTCGGTTCCAATCTGGTCGCTAATATCTGTTGCATCATGATGTGTCGGGTGTATTTATTGCATTGGAGAACATTTTGGCTGCCTTCCATGCTGGGTTCAGTTCCAGTATTATGACTGATATCTGTGACTTCATGAAGAGTTAGACGCGGTTTGTCGTTTTAGAGAATACTTTAACTACAGACAACATCCAGAAGTCTTTCCTACAAGGTTCATTTGCAGCCCTATGGCCAATATCTGTCTTATCATGAAAACTTCAAGTACAGTTAGTTGCATTGGAGCATATTTTGACTACAAAAAATGCCCAGAGGCATTCTACGTAGTGCTTGGTTCCATTCTTATGACCAGTATCTGTTGTATCATTAAGAGCCAGATGCGGTTTCTTGCATGACAGGATATTTCCAATACGCTTATCATTCAAAGCCCTCTGAACAGGGCACAATTACAGCCTCATGACCTAAATCCGTCACATCATGAAGAGTAGGGTGTGCGTTGTTTCGGCTGCAGACAACGTTCATTTTGGCTGCAGACCATTTCGGCTGCAGACAACGTTCAAAAGCCTTCTATACAGGGTTCACTTCCAATATTATGACTGATAACATTGACTTTATGAACAGTTGGGTGCGGTTTGTCATTTTAGAGAATAATTTGACTAAAGAGAACGTCCAGAAGTCTTCCATACAGGGTTCCGTTCCAATAATATGACTGATATCTGTGACTTCATGAACAGTTCGGTGTCGTTTGTCGTTTTAGAGAATACTTTGACTAAAGATAACATCCAGAAGTCTTCCTTACAGGTTTCAGTTCTATAATTATGACCGATATCTGTGACTTCATGAACAATTGGGTGTCGTTTGTCGTTTTAGAGATACTTTGACTAAAGACAACGTCTAGAAGTCTTGTAGTTAAGTTTCAGTTCTAATATTATGACCGATATCTGTCACTTCATGAACAGTTTTGGTGTCGTCTGTCGTTCTAGAGAATAATTTGACTAAAGACAACGTCCAGAAGTCTTGTATTGAGCTTTCAGTTCTAATATTATGACCGATATCTGTCACTTCATGAACAGTTGGGTGTCGTCTGTCGTTCTAGAGAATACTTTGACTAAAGACAACGTCCAGAAGTCTTGTATTAAGGTTTTAGTTCTAATATTATGACCGATATCTGTCACTTCATGAACAGTTGGGTGTCGTCTGTCGTTCTAGAGAATACTTTGACTAAAGACAACGTCCAGAAGTCTTGTATTGAGGTTTCAGTTCTAATATTATGACCGATATCTGTCACTTCATGAACAGTTGGGTGTCGTCTGTCGTTTTAGTGAATACTTTAACTAAAGACAACGTCCAGAAGTCTTGTATTAAGGTTTCAGTTCTAATATTATGACCGATATCTGTCACTTCATGAACAGTTGGGTGTCGTCTGTCGTTCTAGAGAATACTTTGACTAAAGACAACGTCCAGAAGTCTTGTATTGAGCTTTCAGTTCTAATATTATGACCGATATCTGTCACTTCATGAACAGTTGGGTGTCGTCTGTCGTTCTAGAGAATACTTTGACTAAAGACAACGTCCAGAAGTCTTGTATTAAGGTTTCAGTTCTAATATTATGACCGATATCTGTCACTTCATGAACAGTTGGGTGTCTTCTGTCGTTCTAGAGAATACTTTGACTAAAGACAACGTCCAGAAGTCTTGTATTGAGGTTTCAGTTCTAATATTATGACCGATATCTGTCACTTCATGAACAGCTGGGTGTCGTCTGTCGTTTTAGAGAATACTTTGACTAAAGACAACGTCCAGAAGTCTTGCATTAAGGTTTCAGTTCTAATGTTATGACCGATATTTGTGACTTCATGAACAGTTGATTGTCGTCTGTGGTTCTGGGGAATACTTTGACTAAAGACAACGTCCAGAAGTCTTGTATGGAGGTTTCAGTTATAATATTATGACCGATATCTGTCACTTCATGAACAGTTGGGTGTCGTCTGTCGTTCAAGAGAATACTTTGACTAAAGACAACGTCCAGAAGTCTTGTATTAAGGTTTCAGTTCTAATATTATGACCGATATCTGTCACTTCATGAACAGTTGGGTGTCGTCTGTCGTTCTAGAGAATACTTTGACTAAAGACAACGTCCAGAAGTCTTGTATTGAGCTTTCAGTTCTAATATTATGACCGATATCTGTCACTTCATGAACAGTTGGGTGTCGTCTGTCGTTTTAGAGAATACTTTGACTAAAGATAACATCCAGAAGTCTTCCTTACAGGTTTCAGTTCTATAATTATGACCGATATCTGTGACTTCATGAACAATTGGGTGTCGTTTGTCGTTTTAGAGAATACTTTGACTAAAGACAACGTCTAGAAGTCTTGTATTAAGGTTTCAGTTCTAATATTATGACCGATATCTGTCACTTCATGAACAGTTTGGTGTCGTCTGTCGTTCTAGAGAATAATTTGACTAAAGACAACGTCCAGAAGTCTTGTATTGAGCTTTCAGTTCTAATATTATGACCGATATCTGTCACTTCATGAACAGTTGGGTGTCGTCTGTCGTTCTAGAGAATACTTTGACTAAAGACAACGTCCAGAAGTCTTGTATTAAGGTTTTAGTTCTAATATTATGACCGATATCTGTCACTTCATGAACAGTTGGGTGTCGTCTGTCGTTCTAGAGAATACTTTGACTAAAGACAACGTCCAGAAGTCTTGTATTAAGGTTTCAGTTATAATATTATGACCGATATCTGTCATTTCATGAACAGTTGGGTGTCGTCTGTCGTTCTAGAGAATACTTTGACTAGAGACAACGTCCAGAAGTCTTGTATTGAGGTTTCAGTTATAATATTATGACCGATATCTGTCACTTCATGAACAGTTGGGTGTCGTCTGTCGTTCTAGAGAATACTTTGACTAAAGACAACGTCCAGAAGTCTTGTATTGAGGTTTCAGTTATAATATTATGACCGATATCTGTCACTTCATGAACAGTTGGGTGTCGTCTGTCGTTCTAGAGAATACTTTGACTAAAGACAACGTCCAGAAGTCTTGTATTGAGGTTTCAGTTCTAATATTATGACCGATATCTGTCACTTCATGAACAGTTGGGTGTCGTCTGTCGTTTTAGAGAATACTTTGACTAAAGACAACGTCCAGAAGTCTTCCAGTGCAAGGTTCAGTTGAAATATTCTGACCAATATCTGTCACATCATGAAGTGTCAGGCACAGTTAGTTGCATTAGAGCACATTTCGGCTATGGAAAATGCCCGAAGGCATTCTACGCAGTATTTGGTTCCTATCTTATGACCAATATCTCTTGTGTCAATAAGAACCGGGTGTGCTTTGTTGCATTAGAGGATATTTCGAACACACACATCAACCGAAAGCCTGCTACTCTGGCCTCAATTGTAGTCTTATGACTGACTTAAATCTCTCAGATCATGAAGTTGAAGGCGTGATTATTAAGTTGACTGATATAAAATATGTTGTGTAAATATACTGAAGGTACCAGCATATGCAAGATATTGTTAGTAACTTTGGTAGTGCAGGTATAGAAACCCGGTGGTTTGTAAACCTGATCAGGAGGGCAGCCACGCTATTTCCCCGCAGAGAGGAGGGGGGGGGAGCTCAATGTCAATTCCATATATTCACATAATAGGGAGGGGGTGCTAAATCAGCCCTGGGGAGGGGCACTGGGACAAACTTTTGCCCCCCCCCCCCCCTTAAGGAGAGCCCTGCACACGCCTATGATAGACGTACAGTATGCTAGACGCGAATGTTCATTCGCGGGAGCGGCGCACGCACCGATGTTGATTTCTGGTGCTACCGCTGTAGTTACTTTGGGCACTGAAATGTCAATTACCTCTAAAATAGTCTAAACTGTGGTGGTTGAAGCACTATCAACTTGTTAACGTGTTCTCATATCCTCTGAAACATACATTCCCGCTCCAGTTGAGAATGTGCCGTTCTGTGCTGAACTTGGACAGTTCCAAGCCAAAAGATCAAGCAACATTGCGCATCGGCCTTGGACGCGTGGGCGTCAACGTGGTTGACGCGTGCCAGTAGTTGCACGCCCTTTTCCTCCACAGGCGCGACTAGACGCTTTTGACGCGTAGGCGCAAGCATACGCGTGCCAGTGGCGCGCGTCCCCCTCCCCCTTCGCTCGCTCCTCCGCTCTCCTCGCTCGCTGCAGCTGCGCGCGCACCCCTCTCTCTCGCGCGCCCGCCTTCTCTCTCAGTCTCCCGTCGAGAGTGGGTCGTGCGATGGATGTCCCGGAGGCAACGCTACCATCAACAACGAATGCAGTACAACCGAATGCCAGCACTGCACCCGTCGTTGGAGGTGACGGTACCGCGGTGGTTTCGCCGACGTTGGAAGACAAGGCGGCGCTGCGAAGGGCTCGTGAGACCGAACGTAAGCGGGCGAAGCGTGCAGTGGATGCCGAACTGCGTGCTCGCGAGGCCGAGTGCAAGCGGGCGAAGCGTGCAGCGATGCCGAACTGCGCGCTCGCGAGGCCGAGGACAAGCGGGCGAAGCGTGCAGAGGATGCCGAACTTCGCGTTCGCGAGGCCGAGGACAAGCGGGCGAAGCGTGCAGCGGATGGTGAACTGCGCGCTCGCGAGGCCGAGATGAGGCGTCAGCATCGAGCCGCGAACGCGGCCAGAGAAGCGGGACGACAACGCAAGCGTCAGCGGAGAAGGGCGATGAAGGCCGGCGTCAAGACGACGGATTTTAACCTTACTCCCCCTCATAGCATCACCCCCGTGCATTCGCACTTAACCATGTTCACCCTCGGGGAAATGCTTGGGAGTTTTTTAACTTACGAACACACCTTCGAACACTTATCTTCACGTACAACTGCGTCAACATTCCTGCCCTGGTGCAAACGATCTGAAATATCAGAGTATAATGAAAAAGTACGAAGCGATGAAAACGTTAGAAAAAGGCAAACTGCTGTCGTCTTCTTTTTTACCACGTTGCAGTTGCCGTGGGTTCGCCTCATCTCAACGTGAACTATACCAGAAGCATGCGCACATGTCTTAGTTACCTGGACTGTATTTGTACATGTCTCCGAAGAATGTCTCCAGGAGACCATTGTAGCCGCCGAACACGTACATCTCGCCTTTGTAGACGACTGGAAAAGCAATGGCGGCGTTACGTATCTGGTAGCAGTAAACACAGCCAGACAACAACGCAAGAGGACGAAAAACTTTCCAAGGACACCATTATATATATATATATATATATATATATATATATATATATATATATATATATATATATATATATAAGTGTACACTTAGGGGCCCGTCTTTCCGTGTTTGACACAATATTAATAACATCTAACAGACTATAATGCCAAGGAAAGTATAGAGAAAGTTATTAGACGAAATTGTATAGTAAATGAAAAGTGGGTGAAAAGATAACTTGCCGTGGGCAGGAATTGAACCTGCGACCTTTGAACAACGTGTTCGATGCTCTATCACTGAGCTTCCACGGTGGCTATCCCCCCAGTATTAGGAATATATATATATGAATTTAAAACGTGGGAGTGTCAGTCAGCGCCACCAGTAGCCATAGCGGCGAATGTGGTACACTCTTGGCGTCACGTAGCATTACGAGCTGTCAGCTGATATATATATATATATATATATATATATATATATATATATATATATATATATATATATATATATATATATATATATATATATATATATATATATATATATATATATATATATATATATATGATTCAAAAAAATAAATTCTGTGGGTCCAGTGCAAATATAAAAATATAATTAAGAAATAAAGGAGCACACTTACGAAAATTTGATAGTTATTTACTCTACGTTTTGGCCGTGGCATGGCCTTCGTCAATTAACCTTCGACAGGTTAATCCTGACGAAGGCCGTGCCATGGCCGAAACGTTGGGTAAACAGCTATCAATGTGTGTGTGTGTGTGTGTGTGTGTGTGTGTGTGTGTGTGTGTGTGGTGTGTGTGTGTGTGTGTGTGTGTGTGTGTGTGTGTGTGTGTGTGTGTGTGTGTGTGCGTGCGTGTACGAGTGTGTGTGTGTGTGTGTGTGTGTGTGTGCGTGTGTGTGTGCGTGTGTGTGTGTGTGTGTGTGCGTGTGTGTGTGCGCGTGCGTGCGTGCGTGCGTGCGTGGCTACCGTTCAGATCGGTTTCCAATGTGTCCTCGTCTTGTGAGCTAGATGTTGAAATAACTCAGCCGCAAAATTCTCAAAAGAAGTCTGACTTAATGAAAATTCGGCAGATCCCACGTACCTTGGGAATCGACCTTACGCCAAGCGTATGCGGAGGGGAAGTGACAATGTTGTGTTTTGTTATTGTGCGACACCTTACGAAATGACGCTAAAATTAGCACTTTTGTACACACGGATATATGTTGAGCAGTCAGATATGTTTTATATAACCAGTTTGCACTTGCGCAATGATGCCAACGGGAACAAGAGTATTAGCAACACGAGAAGCGGTAATCTATGTAACTCTTGTATGATCGCGAGTATGGTAGTCCTCGACACTGCTACATAAATCAACTTCAGTCGATGGCACTTAACTACCATTGACGTTAACCCGACGAGACGGCTGTACCATAGGAGTACATATGTAATGCTTACAAAATTGGATAGACAGCACTGCAACCATATTATAATTGGCGTTTCACCATCATTACACCTGAACAGCGCATTTTTCCAACGCACTACTGAGACCTGGCATGGCTCTGTGGTGGAACACTTGATTTACACGCAGAATGCTTGGGTTCAATTCCAGCTGGGGCCCTGTTATTTTTTTTTCTTTTGCATTTGTCGGGTCAAGGCTGCCAAATGTCGGTTCTCGCCGTTCCCGGGTAGACAAATTGTCAATGACCTCTCCTGTGGCACATACCCGCGCGCGGTTATGTGCCACAGGTCTGGCGGAGAGGGTTTGACGACATACGTGACGGGATTGACGGGATTGTCACATTCTTTGTCATGATCAGCAATTCATACTCGTCGAACCATATTACTCTCCCATACTAATTATGGCTCTCCCCAAGTTAAGGGGGTGATCACGAGAGCACCCGTACGTAGGTGGATAGATAGATAGATAGATAGATAGATAGATAGATAGATAGATAGATAGATAGATAGATAGATAGATAGATAGATAGATAGATAGATAGATAGATAGATAGATAGATAGATAGATAGATAGATAGATAGATAGATAGATAGATAGATAGATAGATAGATAGATAGATAGATAGATAGATAGATAGATAGATAGATAGATAGATAGATAGATAGATAGATAGATAGATAGATAGATAGATAGATAGATAGATAGATAGATAGATAGATAGATAGATAGATAGATAGATAGATGTCAAACATGCTTGCAGGGCGCAAAGAAGGAGAGAGCATACAGGCGGCGTGGCTGCACCGTCCCAGCGGCGTCATGCCCTTGGTGACCGGGTGCACCCAGGCGCCATTGGTGGTGTCTAGGTAGGCGAGTCGATCACAGTAGGCCACCTCATCGTGGAGGTCGGTCGAGCTGCGCCGGCCTCCCCACACGTACATGCGCCGACCGATGGCCACCGCAGTGTGGAAACTGCGCCACTCTGGTGCGTTGCCCTGTGCAATAATTGCGTGCAGCCACGTACCACGTGAACTTCAATACGGGTAAAACCGAAAAAAAAAAAAAAAACCGCGTTGCTTGAACAGCAGCAGACACTTCGCGATAATCGGAAGTGACGAATTCCGCGGACATTCCCCGACGAGGAGACAACTATTGGATTTTGAAAACTGACTTAACTGCCTTCGAGGAACCGTGTACATGGACCATAATATTGATCTCACAATTCAATAGTTCTGGGATAACCGAATGGTCATTACTTTCTGAACATGATTCGTATATTCCTGACTACCTTAGCGTGAACTTGTCACAAACAGCGTACTGGTAGGTTCAGAAAAAGTGGGTAACGATTTAGAGTATTAGGTACTCTACTATGGGAGAGCATGAAGCCGTCCCTTCTTGGTGATTTTGTATTAAGGTATAAGGGGCTCTATGCCTTGTCACCCAGACAACTTCTAGAACGGATAAGCAACATGAGCGGATACATCGCACCGAATTCGATGTGGTTTGCTGTGCATAAGGTAACAAGTTTGGCATTTGTATGGGGCAAGCTTTCAATTAATGTCAGCAATTTGTTTAGGAAGGCTGCTAAAGGAAACACCACAATACTGATAATTTCACCTGATATTTATTTTAGTGCAAGTAAAAAAATCCCAGGCATTGCACGCATCCCTGAAAATCTGCCGCTAAATTCTAGGTAAGAATTTTCTCATTTCAATTCAGTCCTTAAAATAACCTAAACCAAACGTGACGCTTGCCTTTTTTGAGATTATCCAACGGCCATCTCTGTCAATAGTGCGATGTTACCGATTAGTAAACTCCCTTTTGAATATATATTTCATATTAAAAAAATATTTGCGGATTTATAGCGTTGGAGGGTTAAGCAAGTTTCTACAGTGCGTATTAATTTGATTGATATGTGGTGTTTAACGTCCCAAAACCACAATATGATTATGAGAGACGCCGTAGTGGAGGGCTCCGGAAATTTTGACCACCTGGGGTTCTTTAACGTGCACCCAAATCTGAGCACACGGGCCTACAACATTTCCGCCTCCATCGGAAATGCAGCCGCCGCAGCCGTCATGCCATCCTACGACCTGCGGGTCAGCAGCCGAGTACCTTAGCCACTAGACCACCGCGGCGGGGCCTACAGTGCGTATTCATTTAGGTCAATACGAGCTCTTTTCCGAAAGGAGTTGGTTCCGGGATTATTGGTATTTGCTTTATCCGTTTTTAATCACTCGTGTCAGTAATCATAAGCGTGCGCACCTGAAAAAAAAAGCGCCCCATACATTGACTTCATAAAAACGGGGGGGGGGGGGGGGGGCGCTGTGAAGAACATTTGTCCCCTCTGAAGGGAAACCTTGCGCGCGCCTGTGTCCGTTACACACCCAGGCTGGTTTGTCTAACAAGAACAGACAGGGGTTACGACAGCGAGTTGCGATGGAGTCACAACGCCGAAGCAACGCAAGCATCAGGCTGCAGAAGAGATGGGTGCGGCTCACTCGGGTGGCCAGGAACCGCCAGTGCATGGTGTCCAGGTCGAGCACGTGCACGTCCTGGGACATCCGGTCGGCCTCGTCGTCAATACCGCCGAACACGTACATGCGACTGCCCACCACGCACGCAGAGTGGCCCTCGCGCGCAGCCGGGGTCTCGCCCGTGGTGCGAGGACGAAGCCACGTCAGCGACTCTGCACGGCAATGATCGGTTACAATGTATTGCCACAGATGCTGTATCTGGATGCTCTCGAGGCGTTTTAGCCGTCGGCGTTGGCGTCGCCGTGATGTTCCGCTAAATGTCCTACTCGGTAACATTGCCGCACAAGTTTTGCGTGGGAGTTAGAGCACGCGAGAGTGCAAGCGACGAACGCTTATCTAGCGGAGAGCAAACGAGCCAGCCTTCTGGAGCCACACGAAAGGCCTATGGGGCCGAGTGACGACTGCATGACTCGACGCTTAGCTCAGTCACGCTGCATTTCATTCCGGACTGATACCTAAATGTGCTGCGCAGGCAACGGGAGCCTATTACTGCAGCCATCAGCGCACGGCTGGTACCCTTGGACGAGATGTGTATACGCCAGTGATGATTACGCCCTGTCTATACGCCAGTCCTGTAAATGTCTTATGTGATGGAATGTCGACGAGCCCAAACATTTACGTGACTATGTCTCAACGAAGGGTTCAAGCTTACCTGGTTATGATGTCATATTCCTAGCCATCACAACTACCTGCACATTTCCGAAAGTACTTGTACATGTATCGTTGAGGCGAGTTTGTGATTCATTTTCGAAAATCAGCACAGCAGCGGACAAAGGAAAGGGTAACAAAAAAGCCCTTGTTCCTTGCTTTTCTAATCCTTTACACGCATCTGCGGTTTTTTTTTTCTTTCTTAATAGCCTCAGTCTTGAAAAACTGGAGTCACCACTTCCCGAAATTGCACATGGTTCACCGGACTGAGTACGTCATCGTTAAGAAGCCGGAAGAGGGAGGGAAGAAATAAAAGGCAAGGAGGTCAACCAGACGCGCGTCCGGTTTGCTACCCTGCACTGGAGGAAGGGTGATGGGGTTAAAGAAGAGAAAGAGAAGCGAGGTACGAGAGAACTGTCAGGGTACCTGCAGTCCATTGTACGCTTACAAGCTGTCACTTAGTCCGGTCGTCTTTAAAAAACCCAGTAATGCTCACATTTTTTTGCTGGCCTGCGACGCGTGGAGCCATAATCCGACGATTTTCTCTTCGGGAAAAGGTATATTATCTAGTTTGTTTAGCGTTTCGCGTAGCACGTTGCGCTCGGTTGCAAAAATATTAGAGGAACACAGTAGATGTTACATCGCCTCGTCATCTGGACGTATGTGTCACATCTGGAGGTATGTGTCATTTCTATGCGAAAAGAGTATGCCTTCATGAAAGCTACTCGTAACCACAGGCGGCGCCGTAAACTTGCGTCTCAGCGAGATAGTTTCGATGGAACTACAAGCTTCCTAAATGGGTCCAATTTATGTATGCGGTGCTTTCCGACTATGGTGTGGCCACTCAGCCAAGTTTCCGACATTGTGTCAGTGAACGAGTGAAGACCCGTTGCTGCGTTGGTTCTCGGCCAGGGTATTGGGCTTGTCTCGGCGTCGTCGTGGATGGACCGGGCAGCATCATCAGCAAGATCGTTACCAACAATGTCGCAGTGTCCCGGTAACCACTGGAACACCATGTCATGACCCTTCGGTAAAACATGGTCAAGGACTTCTCTGATTTATTTTCTAGCAGTTCATACATTCTTCGCAGCGTAACTATGATTGCTAACTCTTAAGGGATGCCTTAGACTAACAGAAGACAGCGTGGTATTAGTGAATAGTGTGTGTACCTGTGTCGAAGCGGTAGACTATGCTGCAGGCGCCGTCCTCGTTTCGGCCTCCCCAGAGGTAGGCGTACTCGCCGTAGCCCACCACCGTGTGGCCGAACCGCTGGAAGGGCACGTTCTCCAGGTTGCTCTGCACCGGGACCAGCGTCCACCGGAGAGAGCCTGCGCCACCGCACAGCGGTATTCGCAATCAACGAATATCACGACAGAAGGTTCCTTGAAGGTTGATTAAAGAGATAACAAGAAAGTCACACGGTAAGTAAGTACACTCTACTTATGCGTTAAAACGACTCCAGTGCGAAGGCCACATTTTCTTGTTCTCCTCGGTCCATTGTACCGATATATCCTCCTTTGCCCTAAATGTTACTGCACGTCACACAAGGCTTTGCGTTGCCCCCGAGATAGGTGCATCTTAGAGTAAACGACTATTTCCTGTGATCACGTCATTCCGTTCCAAGTTTTGCCAACCTGCGACGTCATGATGACCTCATTTTGCAATCTCTGATCACGTGACTTTTTTATCATCTTTACAACGACGCTGCTGAAGGTCAATTTCCACGTTCGATGAGGCACCTCATTAATCTGCCACACTGAAAGTCGATTTCGCTCGCACTAGTATATCACCCTTCGATTGAAAGTTATAAGCTGGTCTTGCCTCTATCTCTCTATCTCTGAGATAGATAGATAGATAGATAGATAGATAGATAGATAGATAGATAGATAGATAGATAGATAGATAGATAGATAGATAGATAGATAGATAGATAGATAGACAGACAGACAGACAGACAGACAGACAGACAGACAGACAGATAGATAGATAGATAGATAGATAGATAGATAGATAGATAGATAGATAGATAGATAGATAGATAGATAGATAGATAGATAGATAGATAGATAGATAGACAGACAGACAGACAGATAGATAGATAGATAGATAGATAGATAGATAGATAGATAGATAGATAGATAGATAGATAGATAGATAGATAGATAGATAGACAGACAGACAGACAGACAGACAGACAGACAGACAGACAGATAGATAGATAGATAGATAGATAGATAGATAGATAGATAGATAGATAGATAGATAGATAGATAGATAGATAGATAGATAGATAGATAGATAGATAGATAAAGAGCACCAGTGTTGAGTATGTGCACATCCATGGGCCGACGAGTGGTATTTATCTCTTCGGCGCAGTAACCGCCGAACGAGTACACGTCGTCGCCGATGGCCACAGCCGCGTGCTGGGAGCAGCACGGTCCGCCTTCCACGCGCGCCGTCCACATGGTGTCGCTGTTTACGGACTGCGCATGCACAACAAACGAGGTCACCAACAATGCATACACTGAGAACTTGCGTCTTAGTTTCTGAACGGGCCTTGCAGCAATATGCGAAACGTTATCTAAGGCAGAGACGCAGTACAGCAGATGCAAGCATCCTCAACCAATTTTTAAGTGTGAATACACTTTATAAGCGACCCCAAACCATCCACCGCCGTCGGCGGCGTCCGCAGTCTTCTCTCTATCTTTAAAAGAAAGAGGACTTGGCGTGCCGCAGCGCGACGCTCTACCGAATAAGCCACGGACGCGACGCTGATATCCCCCTTCGCTCGCTCCTCCGCTCTCCTCACTCGCTGCAGCTGCGCGCGCACCCCTCTCTCTCGCGCGCCCGCCTTCTCTCTCAGTCTCCCGTCGAGAGTGGGTCGTGAGGGGGAGTAAAGTTAAAATCCGTTGGCATTCGCCAGTGAGTTAACGTAAACTCCCCCGTGTGATCAAATTGCGATTCCCGGGAACCATTACACCATAAAGGCACCATAGTGTGATTAATAAATATAATAGTGCGAATTAATAAATACCCCTCATAGCATCACCCCGTGTATTCGCACTTAACCATGATCACCCTCGGGGAAATGCTTGGGAGTTTTTTTTTTTTCTAGGAGGCATTGCATCAACATATAAGATGTACAAGCGTGTTTTATGGCGTTATTAGAGCGTATAGCTAACCTCACACAGCGATGTCGAACGCTGGTCTGCGACACCAGCTGCGTGGCGTCACACCTGGAACTCGATGGCGTCTGCACGATATGCAAAATCCGACGAACGCAAGTGAAGCTGAAGCAGATTGTAGCTACCTGTTTCGTGGCAATTCGCGGTAAAAATCGTAAAATAGAACGCGTTCAATTTGTGCGCCATTCCACTGGAAGTGTGAAAAAAAAAAGACATGGTATATTCAGTCCACGGTCGAATTCAAATCAAATTAACTCAAGTCTTTATTTCCACCATGTGCAATTTCACTGATGGAGGATGACGGAGAAATCTTACTGAGAGGTGACTTGACTAGTCCGCAGCCCAACGTAATCTATGTCGTGTGGGCAAAAGCAAAGAAAAACAGTTAACAATCGAAGACATATGATTCGTGCAGAATAAAAATAGTGTACAATAGCTTGTAAAAAAAGGTATACAACAATACAACGGAAGGACCAATAAAATTAGTTTTTTAATACAAACATGGATCAGAGTGTAGCTGAAGAACAACAAAACAAAGCTAAATCGATTAACTGAAGACGGTTCAACTATGATGGTAAAGAATAACACAAATGCTCTATGCCAGTATTCAAACGGGGTGTGACAACTTTCCGAATTCCAATACTCGCTATGCCTCATTTTGGAGTAGTATTCATTTGTTTTCAAATGTGCTAGGGTGTCTAAATTATGTATGTTACGTCTTACTTCATATTTATATCTAGAACTCAGCCGATGATAATGTAATTTTTATAAATGCCACCGCCTTTTGCCTAACACACTTCGGAATTTACAATGTGTCCTTCAGTTTCGTAGCTTCTATTTCGGCTTCTTGATTGGCTAGTTCGTACGTCCTAATTTATATCGCCAGAGATATTTAGCATATTAGTGACAACATCTAGTCATACTCTTAATTTATTTTTTCTAAGTATATTCCGCCATGCGTTTGCGTCCGCTTTTCGAAATATCCAGGAAATATGTTTTGAACAATAAAACTGGTGCGAAGTGACCCGCAGGTCGCGGGATCAAGTGCCGGCTGCGGCGGCTGCATTTTCGACGGAGGCGGTAATGTTGTAGGCCCGTGTGCTGAGATTTGCGTGCACGTTAAAGAACCCCAGGTGGTCGACATTTCCGGAGTCCTTCACTACGGCGCCTCTCATAATCATATGGTGGGTTTGGGACGTTAAACCCCACATATCATCATCTGCTGGTGCGAAATCGATGGTGTGGTTGAAGTACATATGACATGAGGGTAATCTAAGTGATCAAATTAACCAACGAGTTTATTGATAGTGGAAACGCTTTTTTTTTTCGTCTCTCTCTCTCTCTATTTGGCAGCTGGTATCACCGTCACACCTGGCGGAGGAGATCTCAACCAAGCGCTTCTTCCTACGCGGCCTCTGGGATCAGTTTCGGTGGCGCACGAAACACAAACTTACAGGGCCAGTCAACAGTCTCCAACTTACTTTTACCCCCCCCCCCCCCAAAGAAGCTCGGCCATTCGTAGAGTAGACCGCGCTGATCACATGCATTTCCCGAATATTACAGCGCTGTGCGCCGCAAGGAGCCTCTACCTTGAAAAACGAGTCCCGCACTCCTTTCCTACGCCTTACCAATCATTAGACAGTTATAGTTTAGCGTTAGCGTGATAGCGTAGGCTAAGGGAATGGCGTTAGCGTGGAGCAAACGTTCGTTGTGGACAGCGTCTTATAGTTTAGCGGGATAGCGTTTACGTGGTTTACGTGCCCAGGCTGGATGGTGGTGCTACCTATCGGATGATTAATAAGTTAAAGAACAATAAAATGAAAAGAAAACGAGAATGTTTGACTATGCCACCGCGCGAAGCACTGTTAGAAATTTATTTTAGTGACAATAAAAGTAAATAAATATGAACCACGCACCAAACGCGAAAACATCTACGTTGCCGATTTGTTTACATCGATCTTGTAGTTAGGCCTAGGTGCGTTCGAAATGGGAAGCTATCTCAAAAACTACGCCAACTTATCCGTAATACGTGGTCATCGTAGCTAACTGGAGGCAAGCGAAGCCACTTTGAACAGTCGTTTGCAGCGGACAAGGTGAATATTTCAACAACTACGCCAAAATCACTTCGAAGCGGGCGTCCGAGAGCGCCGCCATGTTTGCGCACATTACGTGCACCAACGCTACCACGGTAACGTGAAATCTGAAAAATACGGCGCGCACGGGAAGCTGTACGGGTGACGTACGTATCTGCGCATGCGCATTTCGATTCCGGTGTCACGGTACACCCGGTAAGCCTGGTATAGTATAACTCTCTATTCTTTCACACGCAGTGCCACAAAGTTGCCGATCAGCGACTTGACGTAGCACGCAGCTCGCCTACCGGTCTAAACCGGTCACGGTAATGGGCTACGCCTTCCCCTTCCTGTGAGGGCCACGCGAAAATTCGAAACCAGCTGAAACTGATGTTCTAACCCCTGTAGCTTCCTTAATATATCACGTATTTGCAAAAATCTTGCGGCAGTCCGTTCCCAAAGCAAAAATGCACATATTTCTCTTAATAGCAGTTTTTTGACCTCGAGATTGTTCAGTAGCCCTTTGATTTAAGGAATGCACGAGGACACACAAACGCCGACGTGCGAGCGCCACTATGCCAGACATATATACGTCAAGAATCGGAATTGCTTCCGCATTTGTTTAGCTAAAAAAAGACTCTATTCTTACCCAAATAATGAGCAAAAAACTCCCGGAAGCCCCGTTTACTAGCAGAAAAAATGTTTGGTATAAATAACGGGCACGTGTGAGATTCGCAGTACATTCGGAACAATAGGCCTTGTTCCTAACGTTAGTCACTCCGCTTTCCGTCATCGTATAGGCACCAGACAGTGGACCAGAGGACGCGACAAAGGTTTTTGGGCCACTTCAGCATTGTTGGTACCGACCGCCAGGCCTACCAAGCAAATGAAACTCTCGCTGAACACATTGTGTCAATGCCCTTTTTGATATACGTTTTCAAAGAAGGCTTCGTGGGCGCTTACACAATCAGCCGTGACCCCCCTGCTCACAACTAAAATATAAAATAACATGCACGCGCAAGTCCAGTTTTGCTGCGTCTACTCGCTAGGATACGCGTTGGAAGACACGGTTTTGCTGCGTCTACTTGCGAGGCTGTGTATTTTGGCGCTACCATCAGATCTCGTAAACTGCATTGCCGGGCGCCTGTAGGCTATAAAAAGCGTTTCAACGTTGTGAGAGTTGCTTACTCACTCTGTAGGCTTCAGAGAATCACTCAGGCCAGGCGCATATACGAACGCGAGAACCTGGAATGGAGAACAAATATCCCAGCAGCTAGGCAGCCTTGTTCTTGTTCGCCAGACCGTCGCGAGCCCAGGTGGCACGCGCGCCGACCTGCTCTTCTTTTTCGTTGATGATGATGATGATGATGATGAGGATCCTTGATAGTCTGGCGCACACCCACAAAGGGGGATCGGCCAAGAACCGGGCGGCAGGATCTTAACTAAAAGGCCAATGGTTTTTCAAACAAAACGTAATTTTGGGCTGAAAAAAAATAGAAAGAAAAGCCGAAAAGCGAAAAAGGAGTATATCTGAGCAGGGAGCGATGCAGGCTATCAGATGCGATTTGAGACAGAGGTAATGGTGGGTCTAAAATGATATATATGTTGTCTGTCTGTTTTGACAACCATGAGCACTTATTCTTTGCCGATCCCACTTTTGCCACGATAAGATGTCATGCAGACGCGAGGAGTATTTAGAAGCTGCAGTGAATGCTCCTTTCGGGGGATTGTAGTAAACTCAAGACACGCGCAGGGTGGCAAACCGGCTGCCTATAGGCTGGTTAACCTCCCTGCCGTTCTTTTCCTCTTATTTTTCTTCCCATAGAACACATACATGAACTCTATGGACATTCTTTTTTCTCCCTCTACACAGCCAGAAAGGCGCGGAGACGGAAAGGGGAACCGGTCCCCGAGTCCACCGAGCTGAGCGAACAATAAAGTTGTTTGGTATCAAGACTCTCAGCAACACGCTTTGTCTCTGCATCACTCACGCGCTGTTGAACAATAAAAAAAAATAGAGCTCAATGTACATGCCAATGGCTGCTAAGGGGGAATGAGAGATATACCCTTTCCTTCCTCCGTGCGAGATGGTGGTACTTGTAGTGTTGAATAGATGGACGAACGGACACACAGACAGATGCATGGATGGACGCATGAACAGACGCAGGAGAGGATGCATGAACGAACGCAGGGACGGACGCACGAAGAGACGGGCGGATGGACAC